CCCTAAACGGCCTTCTTCACTCCAGGCATTTCGCCATAGTTCTGCACGAGGAAATCTCTCCGTCGTGCGAGGTTTAGAGAGCAGGCTTGACCCGGCGTTCGCGAACCTAACCCGCTTTTTACTTCCTGCCTGGCTGCTGGCGCTGGGCGCTGCTGGTTGGCTGGCCTCGGCTGTGTGCGCTGTACTTTACTTTCCAGAGCGTAGGAATTCCCGGAGGGACCGCCCGCCGGCCAGGCCAGGCCCGCGCAGGGGGGAGCCGTGGTGGTGGGGATAGGGGCAGGGCAGGGCCGGCAGAGCAGGGCCGGCAGGGCAAGGGTTAGCAACAACACACGCCGGCATCGAGCCGCTTTTGAGCTCCACAGGGGCCGGCCCTTGCAGCCGGGCCGGGCCAACACAGCCTGCACGACGCGGCGTCCTGGCAGCTCGGTCCTGGGTGGTCCTGGGCCGGGTAGCGGCGCGGCGGCGCAGGAACTTTCATCCAGCACGGGCCACTCTCTCGCAGCGGGAACTAGGTCTGGCCGAAGACACGGCACGGCCGCAGGGGGCCGCGGGGGGTGGCAGGGGGTGGCAGGGCTCGCCCTCCAAAAGACTCCCTGTCCAACAAAAGGGACAACAAAGGCAGTGCTTCGTCCGTCCGGGCTGCTGGGTTAGCGTCGGAAGCCAAAGGGGAAAAAAGAAACAATTTTCATCTGAAAGTAGGACAGGAGAGTAAATAAGGAAAATTGCATTCTGTCGAAAGAAAACGATCAAAAACAGCTCTGCGGGCAGCATGTCGGAGCCCGGCATTTATTTACAGAAACTGACAGGGACGAACAGGTGCACACACAACGCAGGGCTGCCCGAGCGGATCTGCACTGCAGCACTGCTGCACTGCCATCTCGGGGAGACCAATCGCGTGGCTGCTTTTCGGTTCGCTGGGCTTCCGGAAACCCTGTGCAGCAAACTCCGCTTCGGCCGCCCTTTGTGGAGCCGAATAATACGCGGAGGTCAGCGCTGCGGTGCTGCTGGCCACCACTCTGAAAACCTTACACGCTCTAAATGTTGTACTGTGAAGATTCTCCATTTTATGGAGAAAATGTTCCATATTAAGGTGGTGCAGCTGACTTCGTAACATACCATTGAGAATTCACTGTACCTTATAGATATTTTGACTAATTTTGTTACGAACTTTTTCTTCGTACAACAAAGTAAATTAGTTTGTGCTACGTATTCAAAACTACTTCGTCGCAAGGTTTTGAGCGCGTGTCCAGGGGCCGCCCGGGCAGCAGGCATCGTGACCGCGCGGCTGCCAGCCGGTTGCCTAACTCCCGGGCTGCTCTGCTGCTCCGCCTTGACATGGGAGGCTAGACCACAAATGGACTCCGGCAGGGTAGCGCCAGGTGATTGCCGCAGAACCTGCAGAGCGACGTGCGGGGAGCCCGCTCCGCTTCCCGCTCCGCTTCCCGCTCCGCTTCCCGCTCCGCTTCCCGCTCCGCTTCCCGCTCCGCTTCCCGCTCCGCTTCCCGCTCCGCTTCCCGCTCCGCTTCCTGCTTCTCGCTGCCATGTTTGCCCGGAAGGGCTTCAGCCTCGGCTTCAGCCGGCAGCGAGTCTCGAAGTAATCAAACAGACGCGTGTCTGCCTGATTAGTTTTGTTTGCCTTGTCGGCTACCTGACGGCGCGCTGCTCACCGCAACAAAGTGGATGCATGCCCGCAGTGCCCGCTGCATCCCAGATCCGTAACCAAGTTACTGGTTCTGCGGAGGGCCGGGCAGTCGGGGCGGGGTGGGGTGGGTTGGGGTGGGCCGCCTGATCAGGGCTCATCCCTGCACGCCCTGCGACCCAGGGACCAACGAGTACGGCCCCGAGAAAGGCCCCACCGCAGCTCTCCGCACACCCGGCCTCCACGCTACACGGCGCGGCGGCTCGGCGGTGCAGTTCATCCGGACGCTCTGTGACGCTCTGCCAACACGGCTGGTCCCCGAACCAGGTCACCGCCCAGCCCCTCGTCAAGGTGGACGCGGCCCACAAGTTGTAGGCCAGCGCGTAAAGTTGTTGGCCCGCGCCGACGGCACCGAACCGCACCGGACCGCACCGGACCGCACCGGACCGCACCGGACCGCACCGGACTCGAAGGGTCGTGTTTGATTTGGCCCGGCAAAACAAGCTCCGGCCGCGGGAAGGCCGGCCAGGGCCGGGGGCCGGCACATCCATCGACCTTCCCTCCGCCTTCCGCAGTGGTGTGGCGGCAAAGCCCCGGAACAAGCCACCCGTCTAGAAGTCACTGACGCCGCCGAGGCCCTCACCCAGGCCCTGGCCCTGGCCCAGGCGAAACGCTTTGCGTGCGATTTCGTGCTCAGCGTATGCATTTTGCCTACGATTGCGTGCTCAGTGCGTGCACAATGCGAGCGTGGCCTGCGCGATAGAAATGTTGGGTACTGATTGGGAACATTGAATACAAATATTAAATCAAAACAAAGCATTAAAAGAATCGAAAAAAAGCGGGACAAATAAGGGGGTTGATCTCTCTCTCTACGCCTCACCGTCGCGCGTCGCAAATGCAGTGCTGTCTAATCCGTGCTTCTTCGCGGTCCTCTCCACCTCCAAGCGGTTCGCGCCTGGGTGGTGAGGCTCTCCGAGACTCTCCGAGGCTCTCCGACGCTCCCCGAGTCTCTTCGTCGCCGCACCAACCAAGTTTACAACCGGCGGGCCGTGCAGTCCCCCCATCCCGCCACCCCGCCCCGCGTCCGCGCCAGCGATCCCACACATCCCTGCGCTGCTTCGCCTGCTCGATGCTGCGTGCTGGGGCCCTGGCTGGGGCCCTGGCTGGGGCCCTGGCTGGGGCGCCTTGGTGGGGACCGCCTCGGGGAATAGGCATGTCTCTCAAGGCCCCCTCCCACCCAGACACTCCCAGACACAATCATTCGCACCTATCTGCCGTGCGTGGCTTGCTGCCGGGAATACAAAGCAACTAGAGCGAGCTGGAGCGACGTTTAATGTTCCCCCCAGCGAGTGTCGCGCCTGTCATTCCGAGGTGCTCGTCGTGGTGCTAGCGGTGCTGGCGGCGCGCGGCCCGAGTCGATGCCTGGGAACACGGGCTGCACCGGGCACATTCCGAAACACATTGCCTGTGCTGCGAGTCGGCTAGGCTGGCTCCATGGAGCATGCATGGCTCGGTGGGCTGGACCCGCTGGACCCGTGTGAACGGCGTCCACGTGCTCCCCGGCCACCTGCCCGAGATAGGGCACGCGGCTGCCCGTGGCCCCCACCCCGCCCACTGATTTGCAAGGCTGATTTCTCTTTCGCATATTGCAGAGGTGAACATGGTCCAGGCGGCTGCCGGGGCTGCCGGGGTGCGGTAGGCAATCATTCCGACTCGGGCGGATCGCGCCGTCGCATTCGCCGCCGAAGTTGCCTCGCTCTCTCGGCCCGATACAGCTGTCAAGCCGTCGGGCCGTCGGGCCGTCAGGCGGCCCCGTTAAAGGTGAAGACTTGGAAGGTGGCGTGGGGCGAGCGCTGGGGCACCGCAGCGCGCAGCCGAAAGTCAGTGCAGGGGCACCTTGGCCGAGGCTTAAGCCGAATTTGGTCGTGGCTGGGCGCACGGCACCCTCTGCCCCGCCGCCACGCCGCCCTGCCCCGCAGTAAGCCCCTCGCGGACTACGGTGCCGTGCCGTGCCGGCCGTGCCTGTTGTGTGGGGCATTTGCATGGAGGGGCCCGGGGCCAGATTGACGGAAAGCCGCGCGCCGACCACTGGACAGCTTTCCCAAATTAAGGTACATCCTCGGACTGCTGTGGGGCTGTGCGGGCTGTGGGGAGGTGGTGTTCAAGGAGGAGCCCCGCTCGCCCCCTGCCCTGCCCGCCCGCCCCACCGCCCAGGCAACGCGTTCCTTGCGTTGCGCGCGGGCCGACGTTAGTGGCACTCCGCCCACACGCCCCAGGCCGGGCCGGGCAGGCCCAGGTGGCGGCGGTGGAATGGCGCGGCCTGAAACAGTGCTATCCGCGCGACGTACTTAAGGCTGACGAGCTCCGCCGCTCGACGCGCTTCCCTGTTGCTGCACTGGAAATAAATTCCGGAGCGACTTGATGGCCTCGTTGTCGCAGCGCCCGGCGAGCGCCGTGACGGTGGGGCGGGGTGGGGCGGGGTGGGGCGGGGTGGGGCGGGGTGGGGCGGGGTGGGGCGGGGTGGGGCGGGGTGGGGCGGGGTGGGGCGGGGTGGGGCGGGGTGGGGCGGGGTGGGGCGGGGTGGGGCGGGGCGGCGATGGAAACACAGCCTGAAAGCTGAAAGCCGAGCCGAAGGAGGCCTTTACAGCGGCAGCCATAAAGAGATCCCAGAAAATGCCGAATTGAGTTTTGGCGCGCCAGAAGGAAAATGGTGCGGTGAGATGACTGGCATTGCTGCCCGTCAAGGCTGACTCCGGAGGAGGGGGGAATGAAGGTTGGTTCGTTCGGTCATGCATCCATTTTTCATTTATTTCTGTTTGAGAGCGAGAGAGGGGGGGCGTTACCGCACGGCCGATGGCTTTACTTTGTATTCGGGGCGTGGATCGTGTTCAGGGAGACCAGGTGCAGTGCAGCACAGGCAGAACGTGCCGGCGCCGCGCTGCGACGCAAGCGGACGCATGGCGGGGGTAGGGAGCGAGGCACGGCGTCGCACGGCGTCGCACGGCGGCGCACGGCGTGGACTCTGCGCCCCGCCGGTCCATCCAGTCTCCGCCCTCCGCGACCGAATGAAAACGCTGCGTCGCTCTGTCTCTCTCGCACTCGTGGCGGTTGACTGGTCGCGAGAGAGAGACAGAGCGACTAACGATCCTTCGGAGTGAGACGGGATGGGACGCCTCCTTTTGGTCCTCGGGGCGGGGCACTATGCCACTGCAAGCGCCACGGCGGACGGTGCGATTGGCGTCGTTTCGATGGGTCAAGGCCTCACGGCTGCCGACCCCGCAGAGGCTTGTTCGAAGCCGGAGAACCGGCGAGATTTTTCTTGGAAACTGTGCGCTGACTCAGAGAAACCATTCTGTTGCAGCCAAGCTGGACGGCGTGAAGACGTACATGCGGATGCGACGGGTTCCAGGGTCCCTGCAGGTCAAGGTCATCAAGTGGTTCGACTACCTGTGGTTAACTCAAAAGTGCTCGGACGAGGAGAGAGCAGTGAGCTGCCTGCCAGGTAGGAGCCCGGCCGGCCGGCGTGCAAATACAGCCAAGACGAGTCGTTCCGTCTTTTTGATTCAATTTTTTTCTGTTGCAGACAAACTCAAGGCAGAGATAGCCATCAACGTGCACCTCGACACGCTCAAGAGGGTGGAGATCTTTCAGAACACGGAGGCTGGCTTTTTATGCGAGCTCGTTCTTCGACTGAGGCCGGTGCTCTTTTCTCCAGGAGACTACATTTGTAGGAAAGGTAGGATGTTTAGAGGATGCGACGACCAGCGGCACTGTGAATTCCAGAACGTCTTGCCAGCCGCGTCACGACCAGTCTGCCGGACCTGTCACTGACGGGTGGCTATGATGCCTTTCAGGGCTCCTAACCTACGGCTCCAGTTGGCACTAAGCCCGACATTCAAACTCAAATCAAGTCATCGCCTATCTGCAGACCTTTTTTCGTGGCACTGGAATGAAAAGTAAGCAAGAAAAAGTGATGACGTTGATTGCCGCATAGCGTAACTGGAACCGACAATCAAAGGATGTGACGCGGGCGTCGTATTATCAAACGGACGTGGAAAGTGTCACGTTACTTGAATTGCCGTCACGTGTCCCGTCACATGTCCCGTCGTGTGTCCCGTCGCGTGTCCCGTCACGTGCCCCGTCACGTGTCCCGTCACGTGTCCCATCACTTGTCCCGTCACGTGTCCCGTCACGTATCACGGGTCACGTCAGGTTTCACGTCAAAACAGCGCCGCTTCCTAATGCAGGGCCTGTGCGGCCTGCGCGTCGCCGGGCTGATGGCCAGTGGCGTCCGCGGCGCTGCGCCCGTGCTGCGGTGCTGCGGTGATGGGCCGGCCCACTGCCGGCCGTGCCTGCCGTGTCCGCCGCAGCCCCCGTCCATCATGACGTGCTAGATGGCCGAGGGAACCGAGCCACCAAAACAAACGCCACACACTTCGGTGTCAGGCATTTCAAATCTCTACGCGACCCTCGCATCATGTGTTCAGCGCACAGTGGAAAAGTTTGCTGGAGTTTCCCCTGCTCTTTCTTCCCCCCGAAAAAGTAATGGGATCTCTCAAAGTGGCAGAAACTGCTGCGGTCGAAAAAAGAGTCACAGAACGAGTGAATACCTCTGAATAATATGGAATAACCGTGAAAACTTACAAACGCCTCGAAATGTTTAAAAAGATAACGTGGAGCATATTTGTTGTCTATTAATCCGAATACCCGGGTGGGTGCAAGGAATACTTTGAGTGAATGCCCCCTCGATCCTTGGTCCCAATGAAGAGTAAATACGCTCGGTGGCTCGGCTCCATGGCTCGGCGCTCGGCAGCGACGGCCCGACAAAAGAAGACAGGGGGATGCGGCCGCGGTCCCGGCCGGGCCACCACCGGGCCACCGGGCCACCCCGCAGGCTTTCCGCAAACTGATTCAATGACGCTGATCCGAGGCTGCGGCGCGGCGGCGGGGAGCAGCCCGGCCAGGCAGCCAGGCCAGGCAGCCAGGGAGGCAGGGGGAGCAGCTTGGAGGGGGATTTGAATTATTGATAGCCCCCGCGCAACAAAATATATTGGCTTCCTCCTCGGGCGCACTTGAAAAGAGAGAGATGAGGGAATCGTTATCATCTCCTTGAGGCTTTCAAAGTTTGGATTGTTTTCTCGGCGGTGAAAGGACAGGCGAGTTTATTAGACTCGTGTGGCTTCCCGCTGGCGAAGCTGTAGCCAAGTTTTTATATTGATTTCTCGGAATTAAACAAAGAGTTTCCTCTAAATGGATGCAAAAGGGCAGAGTGAAGTGCTGCCGTGCGTCAGTGCAGGAGAAATTTTAATTTATTTGTGAAGACCGCAGTGTGCAGCCCGAAAACAAAGAAAATAATAAAATGACTTGATAATTTGGGTTTTGGCTCTCTGGTGCGACGCTGCCGCACTTTATACGGGTGCCGAGCGTGCTCTCCTGCCGGTCTTTCCTCGTGGAGACGTGATGGCGTAATTCGAGGCTGCCCCAGCGCCCTTTGAATTTGAACGACGCCGGCAGCAGCGCCGGCAGCGACGCCGGCAGCCTGCTCGCTGACGGGCTTCTCCACCCCCGTTCTTGTTCACAGGAGAGGTGGGCAAGGAGATGTACATCGTCAACAGGGGCCGGCTCCAGGTCGTCGCGGACAACGGCAACACGGTGCTGGCCACGCTCAAGGCGGGCTCCTACTTCGGGGAGATCTCCATCCTCAACATGGGCACGGCAGGTACGCTGCAAGCGCTGCCAAGCTCACAGTGTAGCGCCTCGCCCGCACCCTTAACACCCCCTCTGCGCAGGCAACCGGCGGACGGCCAGCGTGCGCTCCGTGGGCTACAGCGACCTGTTCGTGCTCAGCAAGAAGGACATGTGGGACGTCCTGAAGGAGTACCCGGCGGCCAGGGTGCGGCTGGAGGCCATCGCCGTGAAGCGCCTCGAGAAGTACAAGCGCGCGCCGCTGGAGAAAGGTGAGGCGTCGGTGTGGCTTCGGTGAGGCGAGGCCCCCTGGGGCCCCCTGGGGCCGGCCAGACGGTCTCTTTGTCTCAGTGTCACGCAGCCAATGCCGAGGATTGACGAGCTCTTTGTTGACAGCGGCGCTGGGGCGGTCGCAGTCCACGCCCGGGCTGGTGGAGTCGCGCGGCCGCGTGCCGCTGGAGGAGATGTGGGTGTCCCCGCTGGACCCGGTGGTCTCCTCCGCCACGGCCAACTCCATGTTCAGCCCCAGCCACTCGCCGACTGCAAGGTTAATGTCCAGGCCCCCCTTGGGTCCCTTGGCCGCGGCGCCCCCGCCATCCGCGGCAAAACCGGCAGGAGGGTTCGTTACATTCACCACCACATGCTTGTCCTCGGGCCCGTGCCTCGCCGTGCCGCATGAGGCCGACGTGGCCGAGCGCGGGGCGACCGCCAAACGTAGACAGTCGCGAGTAAAAAGTGTCGCCGTACTGGTTCCCCGCTTTCGTTGTGCTCGATAGAGTGTCGCATGCGAGCTTGTCGATTACTCGCTTCCCGGGGTGAAGTACCACAGTACCGACCGAGGGGCATGTGCGTGAATGATCGTGCGCTTGTGCCTGAGAGTGCCTGAAAGTGCCTGAAAGTTCCTGGGAGTGCCTGGGAGTGCCCAGCCGTTGCTGCTCGCTGACGTTCGTTCTCCCTCCAGCAGGTCGCTGCCGCCGCACCTGCGCAACGTGGACTCGCCCAGCAGCGCCAACTCGAGCCAGCCGTCGTCCGAGGGCGTCGTCCACCTGGCCGCGCCGTCGTACGCGCCCCCAGGTGAGCCCCGCCCCGCCACTTGCCCGTGACACATTCGAGCAAATCTGAGCGAAGGTCGATGGACATCCTAGCAAACCCGAGCAAGTCCCGAGGAAGTTCCGAGCAAGTCCTGAGCAAGTCCCAACGACCTTCGCTCAGATTTGCTCCAGCCCCAAATGTGTGACGGGTGGCGCACGAGGCTCCACGGCCGGTTCTCAAGTAAACCACCATTGCCTTTGCCGGGCTGCAGGGACCGCGGCCTCGTGCAACTCCATGGCTCCCCTGGTGGCGCATTCCCGCGCCGAGTCCAGGCTCGAGTCCAGGCTGGAATCCAGGGTCGCGTCGCGGTCGGGCAGCCTGGTGCCGATGCAGGGGCCACCGCTGCAGCAGCTGCAGCACCACGGACAGGTGAGTAGTGTGCCGAGCAAGCGCCAGCAAGGCGGAGAGGAGTCTCGCTCCCCCATCCATTAGTCACGTCGAGAGCCAGGCTCCAGGCCCTTCCTGCTGACGTGTTCCAGGTGCTGCTGCAGGACGACACGCAGGACGCACTGCGCGCCAAGATCCAGACCCTGCAGGAGCAGCTGGCGCGCGTGCAGACGGAGAACGCTTCGCTGTCGGCCAAGCTGTCGCAGCAGCGCTGGGAGGTGGACCAGCGGCTCATGGACATCGAGATGCACATCTGCGGCGCGTCTTCGGGGAACTCCTCTGCGGCCGACGACCGCGAGTCCTTCATATAGCAGCAGGGGTCCGGGCCGCCCCGCCCGGGGCCGGCCTTCCCCGCGCCCAGCCCCGCGCCAAGCCCTGCGCCCCCCAGGCCGGCCAGCCGCTCAACAAGCCGCACTCGGGACCAACTACTCTGTTACTCTCCACCAACAGACTTGTTGTTGCTCTTCTGCTGCAGCTCGGCGGGGGGAGTCGTCGTCGTGATCCTGGCCGCTCAGGTCAGCCTGTCAGCCTGCCCCCACCGCGCTGCACTGCGCGTCTGCAGAGTGACAAATTTAATTTTATATGTAGGAAAGAAAAGATATTTAAGTGAAGAAAGAGGGAGGAAAGAGCAGGAAGGACATGTTCAGAGATTGGAGCTGCGAGCACCACGGCCGTGAGGAGGCCCGTCACCGCGGCGCCGCGTCGCCGCCCGGCAGCATCTGTGTCATGGCGCAGGACTCATTTCAATTTACTCTGTTGATATGTTCCGTTAAAACTCCCGTCCATGTGAACGTTCAGCTTTATCCCTGAAAAGGGAAACTTCAATCAGATGCATTCGTTTCGAAAAAGAAGCTGCGCGAGCGGCGCCTTCACACTCAGGGGAGAGACTCCTTAAGGCATGAAGCCCGGCGACTGTGTGCAGAGTGCTACTCCACCAGAACTATTCGCGAGTGACGTAGCCCTCAATGCAATGTGACGTTATTTTTTACGGGAAAGTTAAATCAGTGTGCCGAGACTCTGTGCGGCGGGATGCGTCTGTCGTCTCGATCTGTTACGATGCAAGCGTGTGTGTGTGTGTGTGTGTGTGTGTGTGTGCGTGTGAGTGTTGTGTGTGTGTGTGTGGGTCCGACTGTCTGTGTGCGCGCGCTTGCATGCGTTCGTGATTGTGGCCATGTGTTGGTGGGCAGTCTCCTTTTTTGAGGTTGTTAAGAGGAGGTGCAGACCGGACGTTAAAATTCTGGTCGTTGAAAGGGATGGTTGTGGTTGAGTGTGGACAACGCGTCGTTTTTTGACCTGACAAAAATGGCATCGTCTAGAACGACGCGGTTTTGCAGTGTTTCAACACTATTTTGTATTCTAAGAAGTCTTCCAAAAGTTTATATGGCCCTTCTCTCTTTTCACAAGTCTGTACCGACCGAGACAGGCGACTCTAAAAGGGACAATTATGATTAAATTCACTCTTGGACCACCTTCATTTCTAAAGACAAAATCAGAATGCAATATCCAGAATTGATAATTTTCGTTGATTTCCACCAACAGAGAGTAATAGACCAGACCCCTAATTCCTACCGCCTCGCATCGAACTCGTATCCTACAAGCCAAAACAATAAGCATAAAAGGACCAAGGCCACATCATCCGCGAAACCTACAATTTTCGTACCTGTGGGAAAGAAAAGGATTATCCCTCTTGAAGTTCCCCGAAACTTGTTTAAGTTTTATCTGCTTACTCTCTCATTTAAAAAGCCTTAGCTCATAAAATAAACGCCTTTAAAGTTGTTTAACTAATGTTACATTATAATTAAAGGATTTATAGCTAAATTAAATCACGCCGACCTAACCCATTTTTACTTAAATCAATTGTTGTTGGTATGTTTTAAAAGAAATTATATTTATTGCTCTAAGCTTTTCTTGCAGATATCTTGTAATTAAGCCTGAATGTGTAAACGACCTTGTCCGCTCTGTTTCCCTTTCTTCTGATCGAATTGTAAATTACGTCACAGGGACAGGCGCTTGCGCAACTAATATTCTTACTCCGGAAATTAAAAGCGCCCAATTGTACATAAAATCATCTATTTCTAAATCTATTGACCATTTAAATATATTATGTTGGTTACAAAAAAGACTTGTTTAATCCATTGAACATCAGTCGTACCCATTGATCGTAATGATCATTCCCTGCAGCATATCAACGAAATGCTATAAAAATCACACTAAAGATAAACACTTTTGGAGTTTGAAACACACTGGTTAGAACAGCGCGTTGCCTCACGCTGCGAGACTGTGGAATGGAGACGTAGAACGACAAAACGAAACTACTGCCAGTACAGTGACTTTATGTAGTCTGAAAATACGCTTACAGCACGTGCAAGAACTCGTTTTGACTTTACTCGCAACATGTATAGTCTTCTTACCGACTGCGGCAGGTAACTTACCCACAGGGTAACAACTACTAACAGTCTGCCAATTTTGTAATGGAAATGTATTTTAGTTTTTTTTTTTTTTTTTTTGTTTGTTTTTTGTCTAGTGATGTACATACAATTGTTTTTTGTCTCTGTGTTTAAAATGGTTCGTCGGTTTGGGCCAGTTCGGCCTGTCCGTCAGGCCAGCACACAAATGGAATAATAAATGGTTTGAAAGTGTGCATTGCATTGACGCCGCCACGGTTTTGCGGGTTTCCTGGTTTTCTCGCGCCGATTGTCCCAGATGAGAGCACTCCGCCAGCGCGGCCGACAGCGCGGCGAGGTTTGTCAATATTTCACTTCCCCGTCGCGGTCGCGGCGTAGCGCGGCGTGGCGCGGCGGGGCACAGCACGGCGAGTAATTTGATCGCACATAGTTGAACCCGCCGCGGCCTCGCCGAACCAAAGCGCGCGCAAATGCTGCTGATACTCCATTATTTAGTCCGGCCGGGCCGTCATTTTTCACCGCCTCACCGACGAGACAACGAGGCAGCGAGGCGCGCGGCGGCAACCAAAATCAACGCTCCGATAGCAGCAACGTGTCGCGAGGAACCGAGGCAGAGAGCTTGCCGTGATGTAGCGCACTTCCGCCGCTACTCGCTCGCATTCACGGCAGCTCGATGAGATCACTCGCGCGACAAGTTATGGATTAATGAGGCCCAAGTTCCGGGCGGCGCCGGCGGCGTGCCGGCGTGCCTCTGCCACCAACTTTGGCGCGGCGTGGCGTGCGGCTGCCTGTGGCTGCCTGTGGCCCGCACCGTGATGCGCAGCACATTCTCCCTCTCTAGGTGCAGCCTGGCTTGCACGCTCCGTGCGCACGCCGTTCTGCATGGCTGCCTGCCGCGGAAGTTTGTCGCCGTTCCACACACGTCGGCGCCTCCTTGGTAGATCTTCCGTCTTCCCCCGACCGAACGATCTTATCCGCCGAAGGGTAAAGTCTCTGCCTGAGCGGAGTAGGGCCGCGTTGCGGCCAGTGGCGGGCACTCCGGCCCGTAAGTTCTCTGTGTCGCGGGGTAGATCAGGCGGGAGGTCGAGAGGCCACAGACCACTGGCCTGCGAGCTGCGAGCGCCCGCCGGCCGCCGGGTAGGCAGCCCACCGCGCGCGCGCGTCGGCCTGGAAGCGCGGTGTCTCTCCGCCTTGCCGGCGCTGCCTCGTCTGGCCTGCCTGGCCTCGCCACGCTCTGGCTCCAGCTCCTGGCCGTCGTCGCGGAGGTGCAGGCGCACGCCGACGGCCGCAGGGCAGCAGGATGTAACGCGCGCCGCGCCTCTCGGACTTGCCGAGGATGGAGTCAAGGCCGCGCGGATAGGCGGCTTGGCGAGTTCAACGCACCGGCCGGCGATACCGGCGATGATACCGATACGTGTAACGCAAGGCGCAACGCGCAAGGCGCTCATACTCGGCTTGCGTAACGCGAGGGGCGCGGGCCTGGCGCGGGCGGCCCGCTAGCCGGCAGGCAGCCAAGGCGGGAAAAGGGGTGCTGCCACTGCCCTGCTGCCCTGCTGCCCTGCTGAGTGGCATCGCTGTTTGCCGCTCCTGGTCCGATCACAGACTCACTTCGTGCAGACGTCAAATGAAAATCGGAAGAGGGTACAAGACTGCTCCTCAGCAGAGAAACTAGGGAATTGAATGATAGCGTGATGAAGACGAGGCTAGGCGAGGTTTGGCGAGGCTAGACGAGGCAGAGCAGTTTGCAGACAGGCCTCGGAAGGGTTGGCGCATTGCTGGCCGGGGCTATCTCCCTCGTGGGTGCCAGTGCCGGGCATGCCCAGTGGGCAAACGAAGCAGCGGTTTTTTGTTTTTTTTTTGTTGGTGTTTTTTCGGTTTCTTCGGCAGTACAACGCCTGGCGGCCTGGCCCGAGGCCTGGCCTGATGTGCGGCCGTGGTCTTGGCCTTAACCTTGCCCTCGCCTGCTTCAATTACAGGATGATGGGTTATCGAGGCGGGAGTACAGCCACTGTGTGCGTGCGAGCAGCGCGGGGCAGCGCGGGGCAGCGCCATCACCACCACGCCACCACGCCACCACTTCCTCGACGGCGCGCTCGCCGGCCGGGCCGCCTGCACCGGCCTGCACCCTGCGCCGCCCCTGCCCCTGTCTCTCTCGCCCACATGCACTACTCCGCCAGGGTGCGACAGAAACGCCCGACGGTCAGGGATGACACTGAGCACTTCCTGCTCGCTAATTGTCGGCTCGGCGCCGCTTGCCTTGTTTCGCTGTGCGCGCCGGTTTTCTGGCGTGCTCGCATTATCGGCTTGCCTTCCCTCGCTTCATTCATGCCTCATGCCACCCTCCCTCCAGATGGCTATCGGGACCGATCGGCACGGCCGCGGCGTCATATTATTGCTCCGCGACGCTGGGGTGGCAGCCAATCCGATAACGCCCGGATCATTCGCGCGAGCGGAAAGAAGAGGCAAGACCGTTGGGCAAGACCTGTTTACCATCAGGTTAACTAGACAGGGATTCGGGGAAGCCAAATCGATGGCAAGAACGACGGCCATTTTGTAATCTGGGAAAACTCCGATTCCCCGACGAAGAGCAACTATCGTAACGAAGAGTCCGTTGCAACGTCGCATTTGAATCTTTTCCTGAATCCTTGCATGGTGAAATACGAGTCGCAAGTCAACAAAAACGTGGCAGATCGCATTCTCAGGAAGTGAGCGAGTGCTGTTCAACATGTACTTAAGTTGAATTGAACCGAAAGACATGTTGAGGTGAGAGTATTGAAAGTCAATATCAATCAAAATAAACCATCAGTTTTTTTTTATTTTTGTTGTTTGTTGCGTTTAAGGTTTTAAATTTGGCTTTGGCTTGCAAATCAAAGAAAGAAGAAGTTATAAGCGTTAATTTTCACTCTTTTTCTAATTTTTCTAATTTTATTAATTTCTAATTTTTCTAATTTCTCATATTTCTACATTTTTGTTTTTGAAAGAGTTTGAAGTTGGCCGCCACTTTGTCGGTGAATAAACGCATCCCAGGTGAGAGGAAAATTACAGCTCGCGCAAGCCTGCGTCAATAGGCCGGCCCTGACCAGGCAATTTTTTTTTGTTGTTTTCGCACGCCGCGAGTCCGCGAGTGCCGCGAGAGAAGTGCAATGACTGATGCCAAGGACACTAGCCGGGCCGCGGGCTTCCTTTGGACAGTGACCGATAACGCGGCCAGGCGGCACGCGCGGTTTAAAGAGACAGCCTCATCCTGCGTCAGGCCCGCGTGTGAACCGGACCCGACCGGGCCTCAAAGTCTCGAGGGACTCGGAGTACCGGACGCCGGCGAGAAGGGCTCGTGGCGACGAGGGCGACGGCCGCACTGCAAATGCAAAGGCGATACTTAAGTACATTTTGTGGCGATACCATAAAGTATCGCCAACAAACGGCCTTACCGAAAAACCTTGCCTTCAGAACGGTGATACACAAAAGTATCGTCACTGGTGAACTCGCTACTATACTCACCAGCTGCGCATTATTCAAGATTGCGGTCATTGGAGGATTCGTCGATGGAGTGTTCCGCACAACGTTCCGCGCAGAGTTGCCGCTAGTTTGCATTGGCCGGCATAGACGGCGGTGGCGAGGCCGGCGAGTCTGCGTCACGCGCGTCACGAGTCTCGAGAGCGGTGGGGTGCTCCCTCGGCCCCCCGGCCCTTCGGCGCTCGGCCCCCGACCCCTGGCACACGTGTCCGCGAGGCTCGTGCCGCATGGCGCCTCCCTCCTGGTCAAGAGCACGCGCGCGCCAACGTCACGTGTGCCACGCCGAAGTGTCCAGAGGCCCGGCGTCAGGCCCCGAAGAATAGTCCGGCCGCCCTGTCTCTCGCGCGCTCCGATTGCGACATGCAGAGGGCGACGAATCGGACTGCACGGGGTGCACCTACGTGACGCCCCTCAGCGCCGCGTTCGCCGCGCTGGCGTGGATTTGCCAGTGCGGCGGCCTGAACGCAGCTGCCTGAAGGCAGCGGCCTGAACGCAGCGGCCTGAAGGCAGCGGCCTGAACGCAGCGGCCTGAACGCAGCGGCCTGAACGCAGCGGCCTGAACGCAGCGGCCTGAACGCAGCGGCCTGAACGCAGCGGCCTGAACGCAGCGGCCTGAACGCAGCGGCCTGAACGCAGCGGCCTGAACGCAGCGGCCTGCACCCTGGCGGCCGGCGGCAGGCTTCGCGCGCGCACCGCCGTCCGGCACGCGGCCGGCGGCCGCACCCCACGCCCCACGATGGCAGGGTGCAAGGACCCAGGGGCGAGGCAGGCGGCACGGTGCGAGTCCTGCCGTCGTCGTGTACACTGTGGGACGTCCCACAGTCCATCGCCTGTCGACCGCCTGACACCACAAAAGTTTTGTGATACTATGCCAGGAGAACTGATTGCGCTGAGAGGAGTTAAATCCCCGAACGCGACTTCTTATCCAGCGCCAGGTAAGGAGACCACTGAGCCCCCGTATGCGAGCACGGCGGAGCGCTGGGCTTTGTTTCGTTGCCCGAACGCTAGTCGCCACGACTGACCATGATTGCGTCTATGACTAATAAAGCAAGTTTAATCGAGTCCTTTTAAGCTGACACTGGCTGTCCACTCGCTGCCTCTGTTTGCCAGTCTTTGGACAGTTGTAAGGATTGTCCTCGTGTAGCCATTGAGGCGTTCAACGGAACACAGTGTGGGACACAGGGTGGAACACAGTGTGGGGCGCCGGCTATTTCTCTCAGTGTGGGATTGCGGGACTCCCCGCGGAGGCACGCGGGGGCAGGAACCCTCCTCACGGCGCCCACCTCGCAGGCAGGAACCCTTCTCCCCTTGGCGTATGCCCGTGGCACCTACACTTGACGCCCCACCCCGCCTCGCCCCGCCGCGCCGCGCCCCGCCCCGTGGAGCTGGGCCGCTGCGCCCGGGGCTGGTCTCCCCTGCCGCCGTCCCTCGCCGCGCCGTGCCGGCCGTGCCGGCCGCGCCGTGCCGTCGCGTCCACATGGGGACGCGGACCACACCGCACGGCCCGCCACGGCCCGCCGCCGCCAACAGTCCCGCGTGGACCGCAGTCGCAGCCGGAGCCAAGCAGGGCCTAGTCCACTTGGAGTCCACTTGGCCGCGCACGCCGCCAAAGTGCAGCACGTGCTCCACCGCCAACGCCCGAAAGGAATCGGGATTCAGGTCAGTCCTCCTCAAACCAAAGAATGCATTGTCGACCTCGTGAGGATTTTGGGCTAAACTGGGAGTTGGTCCGATTATCGGTTGTTGAAGACTATTTTTGACGAAACCGGACCACTAGGTTATCACTTTTCAAAATCACAGGTTGGCCTTAACCGGGTAGTGGGTCCGACGGCTCTGTCATAAGCGAGTCATTCATGTTTTTTGCAAACCCCAAAAAAGCAGACTATTGGTCCCCTGCGCTGACTTCGATCGGAACCACTTTCATTTGGCAGTGGCGTTGCCATTTTATTTTATCAAAAATTTTACGCCTAATAAACAGTTTATAAATGGTAAAGTGGGGGTTGCTGGCAATCTTTCGTCACTTTTGATAACAGCCCAGGCCTTGCCCATTTGTCCCTTTTAATTTGAACAACTAAATCGTGACATGATTTAAGGCCTGCCATGTGAAACTTTACAAAAAAAAGAAAGGACATAAAAAATCGGGGGAAATGATGTGCTTTGCCATTGTTATCAACATCGCATAGATAATTCTTAACATGCGTGAGGAGCCATGCAGATGATTAAGTAATAATCGTAGGATGAAACTTTTAAGCTTTGCCTAAAAACGAAACAAAAATTATGTGCACATTGTTGCCCCAGAACATTATCTCGACAAGATAATGCATTGCAACTTGCACGGCCGAGCGGCACACTGCTGTTCTTCAGAAAGCTGGCTCCGATCCACCTCGCAGACGCCACCTTCATGTCCCCGTGTCTATTTCCCCCTATTTTCTACCGCTGTGTCAACAACTGCGCCGGGATAATCGCTCGGAGGGGAACCGCTGACGCCGTGGCCGCCTCTTTGTCCGAAGTGCCGGGCCGAGTGCGGCCGAGTTCGGCCGTCCGCGAGCTAACGAAACAATCTGGCTGACCGTGCGGCCGTGCGGCGCGCCACCGGGCCGACCAAAGTGTCGGCCGTGCCGCCGCAGAACGCGTTACGTCTGCACAGTGCGGCCACCATGTACGTTCGCGAATCATGGCCACTGTGTGCGGCCACTGTGTGCGGCCCGACGGGCCGGCAGGTGCCCACTTCGTCGTTCGTAGCGTTCGCCGCGTTCGCCGCGTTTGCGACGTCACGCCGCACACTTCCTTTGTCCCCCGCCCTACATCGGCCACATCGGCCGTATTCGCGACGACACGGCGCGGCTCAGCTCGGCTCCGCTCGGCTCCGCTCGGCTCGGCTCCGCTCGGCTCGGCTCCGCTTGGCTCGACTCGACTCGACTCGGCTCGGCGCGGCACGGCACGGCACGATCGCCGCACTGACATAATTTTGGCCAGCGATACGGCCGGGCTAGGGGGAGGGAGGTGTTGAATGTTGACAGTTTTTTCTCCAAAATGATATCAGTAATAATTGTTGGGCAGGGCGCGGAGCGGGATGCGAGGGAGATAGTGACTGACGCCAGCCGATGATGCTGCGATGCTGCGGCGCGATGAAAGACGGTCACAAGGAGACACCGCTTTGCTGCTCTTGCCCTCTTGCTGCTTGTGGTGTCAGCCCCATTCGACCGGACTCGTGCGCGCCCCGCCCTAATGTGACTGAGATCGCTTGCAGAGTGCCGGCGGGGCCGGGGATGCGTTGCTGCTGACAGCCTGCTGACGCCCTGACGCCCACCGCCACGATGATGACGCCCTTGCTCGCCTGCTTCCTGGCCGTGCTGGCGGCCTGCCCCGGCGCCCATGCCGCCGCCCGGTCCACGCCGCCGCAGCCGCGCCTCCAGAGGGTGGCCGAAGTGCTGACCAAGCCGTTCGCCCCCGACGAGGCCGCCATCTCCAGCACGTGCCGCCAGCACTCCCAGCTGTACCTGCACCACCTCACGCAGCTCGCGCCCTGGGCCTTGCAGAGTAAGTGCGTCTCGACCTTCCCCAACGCTCTATCTTATCGTCCTCTGCCATCAAGCGTCTGTCGGCGCGCTTCCAGAGTGTCTAGCAGACGTTGGGCGCCAAAAAACGGCCCGCGGCGCCCGGCGCTGGCCCGGAGACCCGGGGGCCCCCGCGCCCCGCGGTGCGGCCCAACCAGTCCGTTCGACGGCCACCTCGTCGCTCCAGTCCCGATAAAACTTCCCGTTCCATGCATTTACTCGAAAGAAGGCGTCGTCGCCGTACGGCCTGGCGGTGCCTGGCGGGCTGTTAAGGGCTTTGTAGGGCCGCCGCGCGCCGCGCCCGTTATCGGCGTGCCTCCTCATCACCGAGACTAAAGAGGTCACCGTCGGGACCATTCACTCTCACAGTCACACACTGCGCCGCACCATACCGTTTAACACCATTCCCCGGCTTGTACGACGTTTGGACGGCCGCACGCGGCCCGACCGGCGAGTCCGAGTTACACGCGTTACACGCTGGCCGGGCCGGCGCGGCCCCTCTCACCGGTAGCCGCGGTGGCCCTGCCTCAGTCTCACAGTTTAGTCCGGTCTCGTCTGGCCATTGCGTCCCTCCCCTCCCCTCGACGCCCTGCCCGCCCTGCCTGGCCGGCATTTGGCAGGGCACGGCGGCATGGCTTGGCCAGGCTTGGCCCTATCCTGTCGCTGAATATCAAGACAAGGCGGAAGCGGCAGGCTCAGGCTCGCAGTAGAGCAGCGGACCGGCGACGCCCCCTCGCCCTCCGGGTCAACCGGCGACAGCGTGCGGCCGCGAGCGGCGTGCGAAACCATCGGCAAGAATGTTGGTCGATACCAGGTTGCTTCTATACGGTTGGAGTTTTGGACCCGAGATAGGAAGTGTGCTTCCCCTGGCTTCCCCCTCCCCTCGCCTTTCTTCCCGAAATGTGGAGAGGGGCGTGAGGCGCACAATTATCGCTGCAGTCAAATACGGCCGTGCTGCCCCTTGGCGCAGGCAACGATGCAAACACATATACATACAGACACGCACGCACTAGTTGACGGGCTCACGAGGAGCTTGCGAAGTGGCCGGCGTTTGAACGCTGGTCCCCCGAGCACTGCGGTGCGGTGCGGACCCAGGTCACACCGCGGCCAGCGCGGCCACAGCGACCGCGGCCTGGCTGGCTAGAAAGCGGACGCGCGGCCCTGTGGCCCACGCGATCGGACGACGACGACGCGACGACGCCGTGGACGCGGCGTTCCGCACGGTCGTGCAGCAGAAGGCGGGAAGCCCAGGACGCGCGGTGACGGCGTCGGTCGCGTGTCGCGCGGCGTCGCAGGCGGCAGGACTCATTGCGCTACCCGGCTACACACATGGCCGGCTCGGCTCGGAGTCGGACCGTCCGGACGAGAGTCGGAGCTGGCCCAAGCTGCCCAAGCTGCCCAAGCTGGCCTCGGAAGGTCGGTCGTTGAACCGGCGAGCGCCTGGCAGTGCCGGCAGCGCCTGGGCTACCCCGGCCGCGCCGCCGCGCCGCCGCTCCACGTCCGCGGCCCCCCGCCCCGGCCGCCGCGGCCTGGCGCGCAGGCTGCACCGGGCCACCGCGGCACCACGTCGCTGCGGTTTACTGACCCGATTACGCAGAGGTGTGATAGTGCGGCACGATAGGGCGGACGGGGAATTGCAAATGTGCAGGGCGCGGGCCGACCGCCGCCTGCCCGCCGCCCGGCCCGGCGCCGCGGCTCGTCTTATCGACGGCGGCCTCCTCGAGCAGGAAGCGGGCGCAGCCAAGGCGCAGCGAGCGCGTTTGAATGGCGGTGGCGGACCCAGTGGCGGACGGCCCATGCCAGTCCCTTCTCCGCCCAAACTGAATGGGGCCGGGCCGGCGCCGGGCGCGCACACAGAGTACGTGCAGTGAAAGCTCGTCCGGACTGTCCAAACAGACCTGTCGCCAAAAGTCTGGCAGCGAGTGGGGGCGAATGAACACCCCCTGCCAGTGTCCCTGGCGGTGTGACGTCCTAGATCAGTGCTTCCCGGCGGATCAGCTGATCAGCTGCCTAGTGGGGGTCGTTGCCCCGGCCCGGCCGCCACGGGCCGCCTAACAGCTATCTCCTGCTCCAGGTTACAAGTCAGCCTGTATCTATCGGACTTGCTGGTTGATCGCGGTGGCGGCAGGGCGCGGCGGGGGGCGCTGCAGCGTTGCAACAATCGGCACATCAGCGGAGGCACGCGCGCTGGGTGGCGCTGCGACGCGCGGACGTCATCGGCCGAGTCACTAAACAACAAGGAACCGACTGAGTAGGTCACTTTTGCGTCGCTTGAAAGTTTCGAGATTTCGACGTTAAAAATGTAGGCATTTCCTGGATTGGGGTCCGCAAGGCACTGATGGCAGGGCAGGCCGTGTCGCACAACTTCCGGAGTTTGTAGTCTCGTTTAGTCGACATGTGATCCAGTTATACCAAGTGGATCGGTTTGTTCGATACCCGCTTCGGATAACGACGCGGGTTTTTCCTTCAGCCGGCCACAAAGATGGCCTACAGCGGGGCGGCGGGCGCGGACACACCTCTTTGCTTTTCACTTCCCTCTAGTATCTCCCGCGCCCACTTCTGTGCCGCGGCGCGCTACCTCTCTGCCCGGTGACGTGCTAGTGACGCGCTGGTATTCGCTGGTGAGATTTCAGTGACGCGCTGGTGACGTGCTAGTGACGCGCTGGTGACGTGCCGGTGACCCGCTGGTGACGTACTGGTGACGTGCTGGTGACGTGCTAGAGACGCGATGGTGACGTGCTAGTGACGTGCTAGTGACGCACTGATGACGTACTGGTGACGCGGCTTGCCCACCTGAGCGCGCTTTGGCACTAATTAGCCAACTCCGGCAAGTAAGCGGGGCGTGGGGCGTGGGGCGGCGGGCGGCGGGGCGCGCCGAGGCCGTTGACATCGTCGACGTGCTGCTGGTCCTGGTGCTCGCCGTGCTCGCCGTGCTGGCCGTGCCCCACCGTCTGGCCGTTGCGGTGGTCCGGCCCGACCCGGTCCGGCCCGGCCCCCGCCGAGACGACGCCACCGCGGCTGTTCACCTCACCGGCGTAAAACCGGAAGCGGAATGGGCGAAACTCACGACGTGTTTGGAAAAGAAGGAGCAATGCCAGACGGCAGGGCAGACAAGACAAAGAGCCAAACCTGTTGCCGACGCCGCGCCGCCGTGCCGCCGTGCCGCCCCGCCGGCCCTCTTTCCAAATGCGCTCCTACTTCACCTTCAAAATGATGATCATCATCACCGTCATGTAGTATTCCTAAAAGACCGAAGTGGGGCCTCACACACTGTCTTGTGCCGAAGCCAGCGCGGCCCCAGCGGCACAGGACTCGGGCCCAGGCCCAGCCCGCCGTGACGCGGGAGGTGTGTCCCTGCACGGGTGCAACGTCGGCAGGCCGGCAGTCCGTCAGGGACAGACCAATTGTGTTGCGCTGGCAGCGGCCCGGCGGATCCGAGACGGCGGCCTGCAAAGTGATTTATTTGACTGCTAGGGCGGCGCAGGGCGGCGCAGGGCGGTCAGCTGATCGCTCCAGGGCCAAGTGCAGCCACGTGCAGCGGCTAGCGCGGCTGTCCCGACCGCGCCGGCCTCCGCCCCCGAGTCCCCCGAGCCCCCCGGCAGGCTTATCGCGGCGTGACGTCACCGCGCGGCAAAGTGGCGCGCAGGGACGCGAGGGTGCCTTTCACAGCCACTAGACAACGAGTTGTCCTCGCCAGCAATCTTCACCTGTTGGCGTGCGTGAGCCTGCACCATTCAAAGGACGTTTCCGAGCGGGGTAGTCGCTGCCTGTTGGAAATGGGTCAAACGGTCAGTCTCTTCCAGTACCAACACTTCGATGGTCTTCTCTGAACACGTCCCCGACAGCCACCCAATCTAGTCGCTTCCTAGTGGCGTCCCCGACCGAAATACACGCCGCCCCGCCCCGCCCCGCGTCGCTAGGTCCGGGCCGACCGTTGGGACGGGCGGGGCGGGGACGGCCTTGAGGTGCCTCGCTGGACGACGCGATGGAGACGAGGCGTCGAGCGGCGCGCAGGACTCGATGCGTGGGAGGAACGCGTCGCGAGAAAGACGGATGGACGACCCTGACCTGGGCCCGAAGGCCCAAAGGCCCGGCCTCAAGGTGCTGGCCTGACAGATGGGCCGAATCTAGGGCCGGCGCGGCGAGGCGATGCTAGTGTCGCGCAGCGTCGCGCAGCGTCGCGCAGAGCGGCTAGGCTAGACCACCTCGGCGGCGTCCACATCGTTCACGCCGGCCCGTATTCAGGTCACCCCAATTTCATCAGTAAGGAAGGGCCTTGAAGGGCCACTCAGAGTGTTTGGGAGCGGCCCGGCACACGACGCGTTTTTGTCTCTATCCCACTCGCGTCGGCTACAGGAGAGAGCGAGACAGAGAGACGTACGCACTGCCCGCTGGCCGCCTTAGGATTGAATTCAGCCAGTCTGTGCTCTGACACTCTTTTTGTCTTACTCCGCAGTGTACGACTCGTCCACCAAGATCCCCGCCTCCATCATGGCGGGCAACATCCAACAGCTGGGCAACTTCGACCAGTGCGTGGCCATTCGCATGGCTTCGGACACCGGCTCAGGTGCGTATCCAGGATACGGGTGGCTGGTGGCGGTGACGCCCCTGGCAGTCCAGTTTGGTGCTGACATTTGGTGACTTCTTTGCCGCAGACGTGTTCCGGGGCAAGCACTGCACGGCGCAAGTGTCCTTCCGCATGCCCGCGGCGGCTGGGGAGTCCCCCCTGGGTGACCTGCTGCTGGCCGCAGCGACAGCGTCGGTACGCCGCGACGCCCTTCTCCTTTTGCCACATTCGGAACGACAAAGTGTTGGTAGGTGCCCTGAACCGTGTTTGTGCTTGCAGGGCGCGGCGCCCAGCAACACGAGCGCGGCGTTCGACTGGGCGTACTGCGTGCCGTCGTCGTGCTCCTCCAGGGACGTGGAGGCCGCCCTGTCGCTGCGCCTGGCCACCCTGGTGGGCCCCACCGCGGCGCGCCCCATCGTCACCGTGGACGACGGCGCCTGCCTGTCCGCGGACACCGGCCGCCAGAACACCCCTCTGCAGGCCAACGATATCGCCTTCATGTGAGTCCTCCGCGCGTCCAGGCAAACCTGCAGACAGGCAAGTGCGGCGCCACTAACTGCTGCCCTTTGCCACCCCAGCTGCCTGCTGCTGGTGACCATGTACATCATCGGGGCCAGCACCATCTACGACGTCATCTGCACCGCGCCCAAGGAGGACGTGCTCACCCCCGGCAGCAAAAGTAAGTCCCTGCGTCCCTGCGTCCGTTGGGCTGCTCTACGAACCTCGGGCAATGCATGCCCCACGCCCCCATCGCCCCGTTGCACTCATTGACGTGCTGACGCGCTGACGCCCCTCTCCTCGGCTGCAGGCTCCGCTCCCCGCACCTCGCGCCTGCAGGAGATGTTCGTGGCCTTCTCGCTGCGCCGCAACGGCGCCGCGCTGCTGTCGACGGCGAGGTCCGGCGACACAATGGGCTGCCTGCACGGGCTGCGCGTGCTCAGCATCTCGTGGGTCGTGCTGCTGCACTCGTTCTACATGGAGGCCGTCTCGCCCAACATCAACCGGGCCGTGGTGCCCAAGGTGAGGCGCCGAGCACGCCGAGCACGCCGAGCGGCACCGTGACAGGCGGGGCAGGCGCTCGTCGATGCGCCGCGCCGTTAATTGCAATTAGGACACTCGTTATTCACACCCGCTTCGCCTGCTTCGCAATTCGACCCTTTTTGCTGTGGCTGGGAAAGTTAGCCTCGGCGCCGCAAAGTATCGCGAACTCGCCGTTCTGCAGAATGCAAAAGAATGACGGGAAAATGTTGTCGGTCGGCAGCTGGGCGACTCGTGGGGCAACATGGTGCTGATGAACGCCACCCTGTCCACGGACACGTTCCTGCTCCTGTCCGGCGCGCTGCTCGCCATCAGCTTCCTGCGGTCCTCGTCCAAGGCCCCCGAGGCGGCCTTCAACCCCCTGCCCTTCTACCTGCACCGCTACGTGCGCCTCACGCCCGTGTACGCCGTCGTCATGTGGTTCTACGCCAGCCTGCTGGTGCGCCTGGGCAGCGGGCCGCTGTGGGACCGCCTGGTGGGCGTGGAGGCGGACAACTGCCGCGCCAACTGGTGGACCAACCTGGCCTACGTTAACAACTTTGTCCAAATCTCCGCGCCGGTGAGTCCAGTGTCTCCCTCCAGCCAGAGACGGAATGCCTAGCAGCAGTCCCGCAGCTCACCGTGTCGTCTTCGTCTTCCTGCAGTGCATGAACCAGACGTGGTACCTGGCCGTGGACATGCAGCTCTTCTGGCTGTCCCCGTTGGTGCTGCTGCCGTTGCGGTGGTGGCCGCGACTGGGCCGCGCGCTGCTGGCGGCTCTGGCCCTGGTGTCCGTCGCCGTGCCTTTCACCATCACCTTCGTCGAGAGGCTGCCTGGCGCCATGTTGTACACCCTCGAGTAAGTGGAGATCATGCAAACGAAAGCCTGATGGCGGCCATTCAAATTGTACGCAACAGCTTGAACTGTAACAGGAGGGCCCGTCGAAAACTATTTGAACGTTTCGTGCTTTGCAGTCAGTCGCTGCTGGGCCAGGTCTTCGTCCAGGTGTACACCCGCGTGTACAACCGCGCGGGCCCCTACCTGGTGGGCATCGCGTTGGGCTGCGTGCTGACGAGGGTGCGCGGGCGCGCGGTGCGGCTGTCCGGCCTGGTGGTGGCGGCGGGCTGGACGGCGTCGACGGCCATGTGCCTTGCCGTGCTGTTCGGCGTGTTCGGCTTCTACCAGCGCTGGCACACCTACTCGCCCCTGGAGGCCGCGCTGTACGCCGGCCTGCACCGCACGGTCTGGGCCGCGGGCGTGGCCTGGGTGGTGTTCGCCTGCGTCACGGGCCACGGCGGCCCGGCCGAGGCCCTGCTGTCCTGGCGCCCGTTCGGCCCCATGGCGCGCCTCTCGTACTGCGTGTACCTCACCCACTATGCCGTCATCATGGTCAGCCACGGGCTGCGGCGCGCGCCCGGCTACTTCAGCACCTTCTTGACGGTGAGCGCTATGTCTCTACAGTCACGTACTGACGCGATGGCGCGTCAAAACACAGGTCAGTTTTCAGGATGTTTGAATAACGAGCTGCTTGGCTTGCACTCAGATTCAAGGCGCCATGGGCACGCTCGTCACCTCCTTCGTCATCTCTGCGGTGCTGTCCCTGGCCTACGAGATGCCCTTCATGGCGCTGGACCGCGTGTTGCTGCAAAGAGGTAATGCAGTCCGCCGGCCCTTGGCAGTCGGGGACTGCGGCAGTGTGACCCCCAAGGCCGCCAAGGCCGCCAAGGCCCTTCGAGGCTTCCTGCACGTCACTGACCTCCGCTTGCCCACAGCGCGACCCGCCGGCCCCTCCAGCAAGAAGGCGGTCGCGGCCGCGGCCGTGCCGGTGTGCAGCGTCGCCACAGTGGAGGCCGTGGACGGCAGGGCCGTGGACGGCAGGCCCGACCTTCACGGATACGACAACGCGGCCTTCGAGACGATGGCCGAGAAGTGACGACGCGGAGGTCTCGCCGGCCGCCGGCGTGCTGCGGCGGGGTGGTGCGGCGGGGTGCAGCCCCTGTCGGCGTCAACCTAGTGCGGCCTCCGCGCCCCGCGTCAAGCTGACGTGCGTTCCTAACTGAGTACAAACGTTAGTGTTAGGTGTAATACTGAAGCTTTGAACTCGGAGTATTTTTCTTGCTGTAGCTTTACGGGTAGGAACTGTGTTCTATCTCTAGTCAACCTAATCCACCTAGTGCAAACAGAGGAGCGCGTTAATTTCTGAAAACCAGTCCTGTCTTTACCGGGATGACCAACAGAGATGTCGTGTTCCTGGGCTTATGGAGAGCACGGCAGCAGCTGAAGCCACACATTTTCAAGCATCGAGTTTTCAGAGCTGAAACTTGCACCAAAGTAAGAGAGCTGTGCAAATTTAGATTAGTAGAATGCTGTACCCCACGGATCATTTATACTTAAGTTGGAATATTCACAAGAAGTGCAGCATGGCACAAACATAGATTTTAGAAACGTATTATTTTCATTCCCACCAACACTGCGTGTGCTAGAGGCACACGGCTTCGAGGACGGGCCACTGGCATGGCTCTGCACGGCGCTGTCTTTATGTTTTAGAAATATGTTCCACAAAACGTGTACTTAATTAAATGTCTGTGATAAATGAACCTTTGTACGAGAGCACTTGCTGTTGAATAAAGCGTCCATGAGCTAATGCGGTCTTTGTTGTTTCTGCGGGCGTTTAAGACGATGTCGTCACTCATTGAGTCATTGGGGTCGCCCTGCAGGCCCTGCAGACTGCGGACTGCAGGGGGTGGAGCCACGCGCGGCGTGCCAGCGTGCCAGCCCGGCTAGCCAAGCTTGAAGGTCGCCGTCGCCGCGCCACGCTGGCTCCCTGGTCCAGGTGGTCCAGGTGGTCCAGGCCGCCGGGGCTGGGCGGGCCAGGCCGGGTGGACGTCCATGCACACGCAGAGTTCCCGCAACTGACAGTCAAATGGACAGCAGGCAACCCTGTAGTGCGTTGCGAGCATTTTGAATTTCACTCACTGACACGCCCTGGATCGCCCAGCCGGTGTGCCAACGGGTCGGCCACGGATCCACCGACTGACAAAACGATCGATCAACCACCCTTCCAATCTTCGAATAAGAGATAAAAGATGATTGCTTGCTCGCACCCCCTTTATCGCACTTGCCCCGTTCAAAGTGTGACAGGGACAGAATCGGCTTCTGATTGGCTTCGGTGGGACGAGGCGGGGCGGGCTGGACCGGGCGGGGCAGGGCGGGGCAGGGCGGGGCAGGGCGGGGCGAGGCGGGGCTCGCCAACCGACCCCACCTCGGGCCTGCCTCAATCCACCCGCCCCGCCATGCCTGGCTTGCCGGCTTATAAAAGGGCAGGCCACTAAAAAGCCGGCAGAGACGCTGTCGAAAAGCTTAGGTACATTGACGTGCTCCAGGACCGCGTCGTCCACGCCCCCGTCGTCCACGTTCACGTCATGGCGGGCTGGAGAGCGGCACCGCGAACTTTGTTGTTCCCGTGCATCGCCATCGTGGTGGTGGCGACGACGCCCGGGGCAGCGGGGCCCTTGGCGGGGCCCTTGCCGGGGCCCGCACGCCGATGGAGCGACACGGCCGTCGTGGAGTCCACAGTGAGTGCGAAAAGAGGCAGGGAAGCCCGAGGCTCGCGCCACGAGTGGAAGTGCGCGCGCGTATGGTGTTTTTTTGGGGGGAGGGCGTGTGTGTAAGAGAGAATGAGTATGTGTGCGCGCGCTCAGTCTCGATGTTATTCTCCAAACTGTTTGGAAAGGTTCCATTCCCGCGGTAAAAGAGAAGAGGCAATAGGGTACGTAAATAGTCGGAGCATTTGATTGGTATGGCAGTATTTTTCCGCCGCGGGGTTCGGGGCTCGGCGCGGCCTGCCTGCCGGCGGGTGTGCCTATCTTTCTCTAAGCGCCACCGGGCGGAACGGCAAAAACAGAGTCGGTTGCAGGCAGCAGCAGCAAGCAGCCCGTAATTCGCCAGGTCAGGTCCGCCGTGGCTGCGCTGGTTGCGTGGCCGTTGGTGCTGATAGTTGTTGCGCTGTCATTGAGAGCGGCGGTGATTAGGGACACGGATCGGCATCGGCCACCATCGGCCCTTGAGGTTCTTTTTGTCGAGAGGAAAACGTAGGCAAGGGAAAGGCACTGACCGATAACCTTGCGCAACTTTGTCGATTCTTGGAACGCCACCGTCTTGAGTCAAGTACCAGGTGGTTTGCACGCAGCCACGGCATGCAAACTCGTGTGTAGCATTTAGGACCGCGGAGGGATGCCTTGGAAGGAGTGGGCGATTCGCGGTGGACAAAGTTCTCAAAACGGCTTCCCCTTCCTCCCCCTGCATGCCGCGCGCCCCCAGATCCAGGAGGTGTACGCGCGGCCCCCCGCCGACCTGCTGTTCGCCGCCACCAACCACGGCCACGCCGCGGCGCAGCAGACAGGGCGCAGCAAGCACGCCAAGGGGGGCGGCAACAAGCACGGCAAGGGCTACCACCACAAGCAGTCCGCGCAGGGCAACGACGGCTACAAGCACTACGACGCCTTCCACACCAAGAGCGGCGACAAGTACGGGTGAGTGGAAGCACGAATCAGCACTCTTGCAGCGCGTTCTGATGCGAGATTCAGAGTTGAGGTTTCGATGATGACCTGAGTGGCGGCGCGGTGGGGGCGCGCGAAGGGCTGCCTACCCAGCGAGCCGCAGGCCGGTTGCCTATGCCCGCGGTACGTAGTGCCCCTCCTCACTCTCTTTGTCTCTCTGTCACTCTGCCCCCCCCAGGTACGAGCAGCACTCGTCGTTCGGCAAGAAGAAGAAGGGCGGCAAGAGCGAGAAGTACGGCGCGGCGCATGACGCGGGCTTCGCGGGCTCGCACCCCGACGTGGAGGTGGTGCAGCGCGGCCAGCAGGGCGCCGCCAGCCTGCGGCACGGCCCGCGCTCCCAATCGCTGCAGGACATGAGCGGGGACGCCTCCGTGGACCACGAGAACACCAAGTACCGCCGCGGCCTCCACGACGACGACATGTTCTTCGTGTTCTCAGGTAGATTGTGGCACAGTGACTGTGCACCCGGAGGGCAGGCAGCCCACCGTGCAGTCAGTGGAGGAGGCATTTGATGGCAACCGCGCAGAGTGAGATTGCTTATATTAATGAAAGGCTGAAATCAGTGTGAAATGGGTTTTGAACAAAGTTCATGATGTCCGAAATTACACGTGCAGTACAATATTAATGTTAAACTTAAATTCACAAACTTGAATATAATGGAATGGTGGTCCTCTGTCGCAGCCGATGGCAACGACAACCAGGAGGACGGCGAGGGCCAGCAGCAGCAGCAGGCCGCGGACGACGACGACCACGACGACGACGGCGAGGCGGCGGTAAGGCCTTGCCGCTGAGGAACGGAGGGTTCACCTTGGAGCTTGGGGAGGGCCAGCTTGGAGAGGGTCGCGACGCTTGCTCCGCCACGCTAAACGCGCGCCGAACCGCTTTTTGCAGCTGTTCCTCATGTGTCTTGACGAGTGTGACGTGTGACGGTGTGTGCTGCAGGAGCAGCAGGAGGCCGCCGACGACGACGACGAGGACGACGACGGCCAGCGGCAGAAGCAGCAGCAGGAGGCCGAGGATGACTACGACTACTAGGGCGGGACGCGTCGCGTTCCACCCTATCCGACCTGTCCGGCCTAGCGCCGAGTTTCCACCTTTCCTTACACTAAGATTGTGTCCGGTGGGGACAAGGGGGACGCTCCGTTCCGCGTATTGTGTTCGATCTAGTCAACCCCTGGCTCTGGCTGCGCTCTCACGGGCCGACGGACAAGGGGGCTATTATGTTAGATTTGAGATTTATTTTTGTGTTGTTTTTTTCTGTATAACTTCTTATCATTTCATCACAGTTTTATTCAAAAAGAGAAAGGGGAGAAAACAAGAGTCATCCCGGCCAACCCCCGTGACGCTGGCGAGCGCTCTGGGCGCGGCATCGCGCTTTCTCTCAGCGCTGTCTCAGCATTATCTCTGTTTAGCAACACTTCGTCCTCGTCCACCACCCACCTCTATATTTATGTTACCTCTGACTTGTTACCTAGCGGTTGTTCGTTAAATGTTGTTTTGTGGTTATTAAAAACGTTGAAATCAATCGTCCATTCCGTCACTAACCGTTGTGCTCCACCTCCTCCATTACACTTTGGGACCACTGTGGGAGATCGGGAACATGAGGAAGAAGAGATGAGCTCAAAGAGAGAGAGTGGCGGGGAGAGAAAATGGGTCGGTGGGCTGTCACTCCCCTTTGTGGTCGTGCAGGACGTGCAGGATGCGCAAGCCGCCGGGCGACTGGGCGGCGAGACGAGGCGCGACGCACTGCGGGCTGCTGGCTGGTGCACTTGGCTTCGCCACGCCGCGGGCCGCACCGTGACGGCGTCAACATCCGGAGTCGCGGCGGCCTACGGCGGCCGGGCCAGACGCGCGGAAGGGACGGCGGACGGGCGGAAGGGCCTCGCCGAGGATAGACAAGGCCTGGCCAAGCAAGGCAGCAAAGCGCCGAAGCGCGCCTCGGACCGACCTGCGCTCTGAGCTCTGCGTAGAACGGCGTCACGTCCGATTTCACGGTGCACCACCGCCGCCAGCCGCCGACCGCCGCGCCGACCGGCCTTGGGCCTCGGGCCGCGGGCCTTGGGGGTTCCCGAAGGCTGCACAGGGAGGGCTTGAAAGCGTGACACGGCGGGACCGCGCCGCCTTCGCCGCTGTGCTCGACCTGGCCACCGAGGGGCACTGCCACCTGGAGACGACGCCCGCCACCGCCACGCCCCACCACCCGGAGCACGGAGGACCGCGTCGACGACGCCCCTACCTCGCCGACAGCGCCCCTTCCAGACTCGCCGCGGGGCGCCCCCACCCCCCGGCAAGGCATCGGGAAGGGAGGCGGCGACCTGGCAGGGAGGGGCGGAGAGGGGCAGAGAGGGGGAGGGCGGCGAGGGTTTACATCCTGTGTATAAATGGCGCAGCCTCCGCAATCCAGCCTGTCGTTGCGTACATCGCCGAGGGATCAGTGCCTGGCCATGGCTCGTGTCGCTGTGCTGTCGCTGGCGGTGCTGTGCGTGTGTGTGAGTGTGTGGGCAAAGGACTTGCGCCCCAACGAGGATGACAAAGTGACGAGGGACTTGGCGGTGGCCGCGGTGGCCGGCGGCGACCTGGAGGCCGCGGCCAGCCACCACGAGCACGCGCACGCCAGCGGCGGCGGCGAGAAGCACGTCGAGGAGCACCACAAGAAGGCCGGCAGCAAGAAGGAGAAGGCCTCCAAGAAGAAGAGCCACCACGCCCACGGCGACGCGGGCAAAGCGGGCAGCGAGCACCACCAGGCCGACTACAAGAAGAGCAACGGCCACAAGAAGAAGCACCACGACGAGGCCGAGAAGTACGGCGAGCACCACAAGGGCGAGAAGGGCCACAAGGGCGCCAAGTACGGCGAGAAGGGCGGCCACAAGAAGGGACATAAGACCAAGGGTAAGTTGCTCGAACATGGCATTTCACTCAATAGAATGATCGTGTGACTCTGAACTGTACATCACTGCTTTGGAACGGTTAAAAACGTGTCGCAATTCATGACCTTAGTTTCATTAATTCGAGCGAGGATCGACAAGAATATAAATCTATCTTGTAGCCATTTAAACTTCGCCGTACCAGCGCTTTTTCACTTCTTGTCACTAAACACTATGATGCCACAGTCTCTTGATTACATTGTGGCCAGTGAAGGGGTCTGTACTCCTTTCTTCAGTTCAATTAATTAGAAACTATCTAGTTCTAACTGAGAGCAATTTTAGCAGCCTGCACTCGTACTTACGCACGGTGCCTCGGTAACGACACTCTTGTTGCAGGCTACCACAACAAGTTCCACAAGGACGAGTACCACAAGGAGCACAAGTTCTACGACGACTTCCACAAGGGCGGCCACCACAAGAAGCACGGCGACTTCCACGGCCACCACGAGAAGAAGGAGGGCCACCACAAGAAGGGCGGCCACCACAAGTCGGGCTACGTGGAGGACCACAAGGGCAAGAAGGGCCACGTGGACAAGGGTCACTACGACGACGAGCACAAGGGCGTGAAGGGCGCCAAGGGCCACGAGGAGCACCACGCGCACAAGGAGCACTACGGCAAGAAGGGCGGCAAGGAGGGCGGCAAGAAGTGGGGCTACAAGAAGGGCCACCACTGACGACCGGCCTCACCGGCCTGACGCTCCAGGTCAGAGGCCACCGCGGCGCAGCTTCCACCGCGGACAGTCGCTCCCTTTCATGCTTCGTTTCGTCTCTAAAGTGCACGCACCTATCGGTGCTCTGACGACCGGCGTCGCAAAAACAGCCTCGGTTTCGGTGGCCATTCCATTCCCTTTCGTAACGTCGCCATCTCATTGGCCGCGTCGACGCCTTCTCGCTTCGGCTCGCCTCGGTTGACAGTGGCGAGTGAAAGCCCCTCTCATTAAGCCCGTTTGCTCACCGCCGCCTGCTGCTGGCTGCTGCCCGCTGCGCCTTTCCGCGCCGCTGCCTTCATCCCGTCGACACCGAACCGTTTTTCTGGGCGACTCCGGCGTCCAGCCCGGCTGCAGGCTGCCATGCCGGCGTGCTGCCGGCGTGCTGCCGGCTGGGTCGCCGGGAGGCCGGCCGAGGCGCGAGCCGTCGCCGTTCCCCACATGACCGACACAACTGGCCAGAGGCACCATTCGGAACCCAGCCCCCCCCCCGCGACCGTTCGCGTGCACTGTGCAGGCCTCACAATCTAGTCAGAAAGCGCGCAAGGAGCCCTTTCACCCGCCCGACACCCACCCTTAAGATGTTAGTTCATTTTCTCGACGATTCCGAAAAAAGCGACTGGATTGAGATCTGCTGGTCCCGGTGGGAAGCATTAATATCGCCGATGACTGCTTTGTGATTTCCTTTAGTAATGTTAATTTCTGAATGGGATTTGTTTTTGTTGCTAATTTATTTGTGTCTAATATAAGGAATTTGTTTTGTAACTTTTGTTGCATTTTTTTGTACTTTTAGGTAAAACGAATAAATGTTGAAATTCGTCCTGAGATTGTGTCTGGCTTCCCAGTCCCGTAGCGCCGAAGCCCCCTCCGAATACCAAAACACGGCCCGAGAGCAATAGCTAGCGCCTGCCATGCAGAGGGTGGGCCGCCCCGCCACACACGTGTGTCTCGAGTCGGGTGGGTTGCCTACCCGGCACCTGCCAGGCGCTAGACTCGCTAGGCTCGCTCCACCCGAGGGAGGAGTGCTTCGCCGTCACACAGACATGCGGCACGGCCCGCCCCAGGGACCTTTCCCCTGTCACTGCTGCCGTGGCGATACTCCGGGCGCGAGTCGCTGTCGGCGGGGGGTATTGCGGCACATACGCTGCGCGCTGCGCTGTGCGCAGTATCGAACGGTGCCGCCTCCTCACACGCTTCCCGCGCAAAGCCGCGTGCCTTGCCGCGCCGCCTTGCCGCGCCGCGGCGGGACGCGGCCACCTCCTGCGCTGTTTGCGGGCCTGGCACCAGGGGCACCCGACGTTCAACCCGTTCGGTCGCCCTGTTTCGGCAGGCGCCTCTCGAAAGCCCCAGCGCGTATCCATCCGCGTCCACCAGAGCACCAGAGAACCTCGCAGCGTCGCGCCCACCGCATGAGGGATGCGACCCTCGGCTCCCAAGGCAGCCCATCCTTGAGGAAGGCCGGCAGCCAGGCTGCCAAGGCTTGCAGCGTTGGCACTCGCTGTCCGTCTGCGGCGGGTATCCTCTCGTCGACAGGTCAACAGCCATCAAGCCTTCGAACCAGAGCCGAGCGGAGCGCATCCTGCAAAGCAGACGCCTGCGTTGAGGTTCACACACCATCCCTGCATGTACCGACGCCAGTGGGGCCGCTGCCACGGCCTCTGGGACGGCGCTCTGGGTCCTCTTGGTACCGGCTGGGCTACCGGCAGCACCCGCTCTGCCGCGGCGGTAGGCATCCCAACGCACGGCCGGCCGGCGCCCTCTGAGAACCGGAGTCACGGCAGCCAGCGGCAGCCTGCGGCAGCGCCTGGGAGCAGGCATCCCAACCAACGGGCAGCACCGTCGTCAGCCGTTGTACCGCCCAGCCAGCACCCCAGCACCCCAGCAACCAGCCAGCACCGGACAGAAAGTCGCCATAAAACCGAAACTGACTTGTTAGAAAGGTCCAGGCAGTTCGGGCGTGCGGGCCATCCTCGCGCGTTACAGTGGGCCGGGAACCAGCTTCGCCACCTTTCAATGGCTCGCCAGTGCGGCGACGGAATGGCACGTGATGGAGCCTGGTCCATCTAGTCGACACCAGCCACCGGTCGACTTCCTCCAGCACCAACGTACCAAAAGTTCTTATTCAGACAGTTGTACTTTCTTTTATACTTTCTTTATATACGGTGCATGTACGTATCGTTGAAACACACTCACATGATGCCTTAATTATGAAGAGCTTCATTGTGAACACAATCCATCACATGTCTCCTCTTTGCGAAAGCTTCCCTTCCATCCTATGGTATGGAAAGGCCGGGCAAGATAGGAGCTGTCTCATCCTCATCCTCAGCCTCAGTCAACGATGGAAAGTGTCGCTTCTTATGCCGGGTTTAGGTTTTCACGCTTTGTTTCCCACATCCTCGGCTGGTTAGCGGCCGAAGCTGACCAATGCCAGAGCGTCGCATCAGCAGAGCGGGGCGGCGAACCGTGGCAACTCCTGGATCCGCATGGTCGTCGTAGCGTGAGGCGGGCAAGGTCCCCAGCAAGGCCGCCAAGGCCGCGCCGCCGAGGCGGTGGCGGCGCCGAACGCCAAACACACGGCGGCCCTTTAGAGCGCAAGCTGAAGAGGCCTTTCCGCCAAGGTCGGAGTCCCAAGGGACGACGCACAGTGGGCCAGAAGACCGATGGAGGCGGCCAAAATTCTGGACGCGTTTCGAGCTCCAGAGTCGCGAAATGGGACGAGTGATTGCTCTCCGGGCGAGGAATCCATTGGTGGAGACACACGTTCCGAGTCCCCTTGCGACTCTGGAGCTCAAGACACGTCTAGACTTTTGGCCACTATGGGCCACGATGGCCCACTATGGGCCGCCTCCGCCCCGCCCTTCGTTTCCCGCGGCGCTCCTTGGGAAGCCCTGTCGATCCGGACTCGCGTTCAGGTTCGTTTGACGCAAATCGGCCCCGCGGCGCGTCTCAGGCAGCGCGTTAGACTGCGCCGCGAGCCGCACAGGCCGCCACGACCATTTTGCAGATGAACTTGGCCAGCTGGAAATGTAACGAGAAATCGCGCGGAAAGCGTCTGGCCTGGTCTGGGCGCGTGAAAGGCCAGTGGGCAGGGCCCTGCAGGGCCGCCGCCGGCCTTCCTTTCGGAACAGGAACACTCCCGTGGCGAAATCAATTATTGCTGAAGACCGCCTCCAGCACCGCATCGCGCTACCGCCGCTACCGCGCTGGGCGCGCTGGCGTGGCCCGGCGCGGCCGCAGCCCGTTCGTCCGGCCCGTCTCGCCGATGACACGATGACACGCCCGATTATTGGCTCAGGGCTAGACTAGCTAAGCCGACCAGGGCAGAGGCGCTCGCCTGAAGCACGGCATGAATCCAAAATTAACACTGCACCTGCACACGTCAACGCGAGCGCTTCTTACGCCCAGCGACGGTGGCCGCCCTTCCCACGCTGGGGCAAGGACGAACGGGCCGAGCACCGCGGCGAGCACGCCCAGCACGCCCATCGACGCCACGTCGCACCCCTTGCCGAGCTAAACCAACTCACCAAAACCGGTCGAAACGGTGAATGGTCCCCAACGATGGCGTTCGTTTAGGGGCGTGAGATTCGGTCGTTCCCGGGGCTGCGTTGGGGCAGGACAGAGAGGGGTCGAACCGCGCTGGGTGCACAGAAATTTCAAGCAAGATTCGGAAGCCGAGGCGTAGAAAGAAGGGCCTAAATCAATCCCGTAGTGATGCCTCCTCCTCCACCAAGGACGTGCCTCGCTGCCGGCGGCGGCTGCCGATGTCTCAGGCATAATCCATAGACTGCGCTGCGTCAGCAGCCTTGCAAGCCAATTAAATAAGGAACGACCGGCCGCTCCGCAAGCTGCCCAAGCTGCCCAACCCGCTGGGTCGTGCGGGGCGCGTATCCGGGGGAGGGGTAATGAGGGTGGTTACGCCCTCCTGGAGAATGGATGGGCCGCCTAGGTCAGGCAAAGAGCGCTGCTTTCCGCCTTTAAGTCGGCTACGAAACTCCTGGGTCCGCGCCGGCAAGCTGCTGGGAATGAACATGTCGGTTTAACAGTTCGGTTTTTCAGAAAGCGGCATTTATGTAAATTCGTACGTTTTGTTTTTCATTCTTACATGCCGTGAAGGACCTCCATGTTGCGGGTCCGCGGTACTTGGCGGGGTGTCCCCTGAACTGTTTGTGCAGCAGGTGGGGGCCAGTATCGCCCGGTCTGCGGTGGCGGGTGCCGTTTGGTGGTGACTTGGTGTTGCAAGGGCGCGCAAGGGCCAGGCGGCCGCGCGGCCGGGCTGCACCAAGCGTCCTCCAGCCCGATGGCTATTAGGAATTTTCCCCGGGCCAGCAGCGCCCATCAGATTCCCCGACACTGTGACAAAATCAATCCGACGCAATCATAATCATTCAGCAACGTTGTTCTGCGCGCCGAAGTGTCCAGGTTGCCACAACGGCGGGGTGGTGCGGGTGAAAGTGCGGGCGGGCAGCGCCGCGGGGAGGGCGGCCGCGAGCGGCATGGCCCGCCTGGCCGGCCGGGCGCTTCCAAGGAGAGCCCTCCCACGGGACGGTCCGCGGTGGGGGCGGGGTGGGGGCCTCCGGAGAGCACCCGGAGGACTCGGAGAGCCTCGAAGGGACTGGCAGGGACTGGGAGGGAGGCAGCCTCCGTCGGGGAGGGGACTATAAAAAGGGCCGCGGCCTGGTGGTCAATCATCAGTGCACCGCCTGCCTGCAAGGTCCTGCAAGCCCCTCCTCCTCATCCCATCATGGCTCGGCCGACGATCCTCCTGCTGCTGCTCGGCGTGGTCCTCGCCCTGGGGGCGGTCCACTGCCGCGACATCCGCCAGCCCGCCGAAGAAGACGACGTCGGCGGCGACCTGGACCTGGTGGCTGCGGCCACGGGCCATCACCACGAGAGCGGCGGCGGGGCCGAGCACCACGAGAAGCACGCCAAGAAGTCCGGCCAGAAGTCCGACAAGGGCTACAAAGGCGACCACCACCACTGGCAGGGCAAGAAGGGCCACCACGACAAGGAGGGCCACAAGGGCTACTACGACGAGAAGGCCGGCCACAAGAAGAAGCACCACGACGAGGGCGGCTTCTACGCCGAGCACCACAAGGGCGAGAAGGGCAACAAGGGCCACAAGTTCCAGGACCAAGGCAAGTACAACAAGGGCCACTCCACCAAGGGAAAGCACGAGGTGCACAAGCTGGACGAGTTCAAGAAGAACAAGAAGTTCTACGACGAGCACCACGACGAGGGCCACCACGCCAAGGAGGGCGGCCACCACGACAGCTTCAAGAAGTCCGGCGGCGGCCACTACAAGAAGGGCCACCACAAGTCCGGCCACGACGAGGGCCACAGCGGCAAGAAGGGCCACTCCGAGCACGGCAAGCACTACAAGGACCACAAGGGCCACAAGAGCAGCGGCGGCCACGAGTCCCACCACGGCCACAAGGAGGACTACGGCAAGAAGGGAGGCCACGAGGAGCACAAGAAGTGGGGGTACAAGAAGGGCCACCACTGAGGCTGCCCTGCCCTGTCAAACCAGTGTCCCAGTCATGTCGATGAGTGCCCGAGCTGAAGACGCAGTGCCCAGTCAGTTATCTTCTGTAGTCTCCATTTTTCAGCCTAGTTCTGCGTAAAGTAGTTTTTGTTCTCGTATTTGCCGACGCCTCGTTTGTCTCATTGCACCGTAGTCACTTTTTTATTTGTTATTGTTATTATTTATTGTAATTGTAATTATTTATTCTCTCGGGAGGGATGCAACAAGCCCCGCACTGTTTGAGTTCCCATGACGCAATCCTCCGGGTCCGTGTTGTCTCCTTCCTAACGTGACTGAACTCCAGTGATACTCATAGTCATCTATTTATTAAGGTGTATGTGATGTAATTTGTTGGATGCGTAGTAGTGTTTCTTGTTTTATTTCGTTGCCGTGATATTGTTGGTTAAGTCAATAAATTTATGGTCACAAATTCGCCGGATTTTTATTTTTTTTTCATCCCGGAAACTTGCCACTGTCCTCAAGAAATAAAACTTGCCCGCCAAAGGTGCCCATTGTCGAAACAACGCGAGTGGTTGTTGAAGTGCGGCGGGCCGCGGAGTCTCGTGCCGTGATGACGGCGGTTGTCATTCACTCTCCGCCACGGCACCGCCACGGCACGTCAGTTAGCGTGTCAGCTCACCTCTCCCCGCGCCGCCTCCCCCCTTCCTCCTCCCGTTCTTTCCCTCTTCTTTGAAGCCACCTTCGCTCGCTCGCGCCGCAAAGAAAAGACCGAGGAGTCATCAGCAGGACCAATTAAAAGCTGACAAAAAGTAATTTTTCTCCGCCCGCCGATTCCCTTTATATGAGAACTCGACATGGCCGAAAGATGGCTTCAAATAATGACCTTTTGACCTTTTTCAGATGTTTCGATCTGAGAGCGTCAAGTCGATTGTTTTTTTCTACGCGACGTATTAAGGTGCTAGATTTGACCCCAGAATCTCCAAACAATGTTGTTTGGCAGCTTGCAACAATGACCCGTCATTATACAAAGTATCCATTCAAAATGACGTCATCACGTCACATCATGCGCTCTCGAGGCACACCTTCAAAGCAGGAAGGAGAGGCACCCTGAGAGCGCGACCTCTTGCTTCCTCGCTTTCGCTTTCAATCCCATGCGCGTCCGGACCTTCCCCAATTTCCAAACTGGCCGGATCGGAGGGAGGTTAGACTTATAAACCAACTTTAATTTTTTACTTTTTCGAACTAGTCGCATCTAAGCTCGATTCCAATCTGGCGGGCTATGCTTCGCCAGTTTGACCCATTCCCGTCAGCGCTGTCAGTCACAGCGTCACAGTCACATGGTAGAAAAGCGCGCCTCCGTGACTGGAAGCGCTCCAACCTGCCTCACAGTGTGCACGCCGTGCACGCTTGCCGGCCGCTCGTTTTGGCGGCAGGTTGTGTTGTGTGGAAGGGGAAGTGGCTGCACGCCACTGCACGCTCCTCTCCGGACTCCGGCGGACTCCACACGCCAGCCCGGGCCAGCCCTCCCCGCGCCCGCCGCACCGCCGCACCGCGTCACACATTGCTCGACCGCCAGCCCGCCAACACGCGTCGTGCCGCAGCACCGCGCAGCACCGCGCAGCACCGTCACTACAGGACCCTCTCGCCAGCCCACTCTCGGTAAGCTGCGCGCCGGCCGCCCCAGGGCCGCTCTCGGTGCTCGGGATTGTGCCAGCCACTGTCGCTAATGAATGAACAACGGGAAACTGAGCATGCGGAAATAGTGCGAAAAATCATAAGAAGACATAGTCACTCACCAAAATCGCACCACGAAAATATCGGTCCGGGTCAAAAGTGAAGTATTAGAACAGAACAAAACAAATGTCTTGAAGATTGGTTCTCCTCGAGTTTCACAGAAAGGCGGCAAGAAGCTAGGCATGAAGGCCGTGCGCGTGGCCGCGGGGCGTACAGTGCGCTGGAACTGAAAGGTTCGCGGCATGCTAATGCTAGTCCTGGACAGACGCTACTAATTTCCATCCGGCCCGCCAAAGTGGCCGAGATGTTCCCACACGCGGTGCCGCCCTGCCGTGGCCGCTGCCTGTAGACTCATTCAGAGAGTCGTTTAGGTCGCCCTGCCTCTTTCGCACCAATAGGTGCACCCATGAGTGCGGGAGAGAGATAGCGAAGGAAACTGTCTACTGACGCCATTGGTGCGGGTGGCCTGGGCACAGTGTCTCGGTTCCGCCCTTCGCAGCACCTTGCCGACAACACTCCAATCCGCCAAAATTTGCCGGCCGGCCGGCTGATCCTTCCGCTGCCCCACCCCGCGCCCCGCCCTCGCGGCCCGGCCCAGTTCGCCCGGCCCAGACGTCGGTCTCACTTTCTGGCCGACCGGTTTGTGACGTCACCGCTCTCTTCCAGACCCTGCCGCCAAACCCCGACAGCCGCTGCCATGGAGCCGACCACCATCACCCTGGAGGCGGAGAAGCTGAGGAGGCCGCAGCTCTGCGACGACGACCTGGAGGCCTTCCGAGCCTGGGTGGACAAGCAGCCGCACCTGCCCGTCGTCACCGGTGGGTTCGCACGGTCCGCACGTCGACGATCTTGATGGCAGCGTTGTAGTTGAGGCGAGCTTTGGCGGCAGAGCGGAAGCGCCGCCGCGGCTGCCATGCGTACGCCGCGTTCGCGGCGTAAGCGCGGTGACGGCACGAGTGTCACGCCGCACCGCAAAAAAGGTGCGGGCCACGGACATGCCCCCTCCCCCCCCCTTTATTTGTGAGCGGTGACCTTCCGGCCAGGCGTGCCGCCAACTTCAGTGCGGTCCTCGAAATGGAATCGCTCTCCCTGAAGTGCACGGCCACGGTTCACAGTGTTCACACCGCCTCACGACGTTTGCTCCCCGTAGCGCCTGCGAGGTAGGCCGCCGGCCCTCTGCGCAGCACACCGCTGTGGAGACGGCGGCCTACCTTGCCCCTGCGAGAGACGACAGGGGCGAGGTAGGCCACCGTCTCCACAGCGGTGTGCTGCGCAGAGGGCCGGCGGCCTACCTCGCAGGCGCTACAGGTCACAGGTCCCGCAGCACGCGCGCTGAAACCGAGCGTTTGTGGCGCTCTGGTGCGGCCGACACGTCGTGGCCGCTGAGAAAGTCCGTGTCTGCTCCGCAATGCTCCGCAGATGCCGAGCTGGCCCTGTTCCTGCACACGTGCTACTATCGCCTGGAGGCCGCCAAGACCGCCCTGGACACCTACTTCACCGTGCGCACGCACGCACCGGAACTGTTCAGCGAGCGCACCCTGCAGTACCAGGACGTGCACGACTCCATCACGCAAGTCGCGTAAGTGTCAAGTTGTCCCCTTCCCATGTGCCTGAACCTAGTGCCTAAAATGGTCCCTGCTGAATGCCACAGACAGCAGCTGATCCTGCCGGGCGAATCCAAGGACGGCTACACCGTGACCCTCATGAAGCTCAAGGACACGAACCCCAGGGCGTACTCGTTCACCGCCGCGGCCAAGGCGTGGTGTGCCCTCATGGAGGCGTGGGTGGCGAGGACCGGCACGGAGGAGGGCCTCGTCTGCGTCATGGACGTCAAGGGGATCTCCCTCGGCCACCTCGCCGTCAACCCCAGCGTCATGGCCAAGTTCTTCGTGTACTTTCAGGTACTTTCCGGCCGTATACCGTGGATGAGCTAGCGTCAACTCCTATTGCTTTGATTCTCTCTCTCCCTCTCTTGCGCGCAGGAAGCCCTTCCGGTCAAGATCCAGGGCTTGGTGTTCATCAACGCCACGTCTATAATGGATCAAATCCTGAGCCTCATCAAGCCTTTCTTGAAGAAGGAGATAGTGGCTCTGGTGGGTGGTGCCTCGAATGATGTTACTGTTGGCTTTGCCACTTGTTACCGTTCATTTCCCTCCCAACGCGTTGCAGATTAAAACGTACAAAAACAGTGATGCCCTGAAAGACCTTTTGGACAAGAGGTACATTCCGTCGGATTACGGTGGCAGTGCGAAGAGCGTCGACGCACTCGTTGGTAAGTTTTTTTTTTGTCATACATGTCTGGGGGGAGAGGGAGCAACCGGTTTGATAAAAAAAAAGTGTTAATGATGAAACTGCCCAAACAGTGTTGAATAAAGCTAGCGGCCATCATTTCTACTTGAATTCACTTTGTTCATTCCCCTTCCAGAAACCTCGGTCACCCTCTTGAAGACGTACGAGGGCTTCCTCCTGCAGCAAGAAAAGCGATGCGTCGACGAGTCCAGCAGGCCAGGCAAAGCCAAAACCGAGGGGGACCTTTTCGGCGTGCAAGGGTCCTTCAAAAAGCTGGAATTCGATTAGTTGCATGGGCCTCGATTGGTATCATGGATCTCCAGTGGCATGAATCTCGATTAGTGCCATGAATTTTGCGGAGTGCTTTTAACTTATTTTGTTGCTGCTTCTTGTTTGAATAGTTCTGCTCGATGCTGTTTTTAAACTGACAAAGTACAAAGTAGACGAGAGGCAAACAAATTCGAAAAATTTTGTACACCGTTATTTCAAATTCACGTTATTTCACGTTACTTCAATGTTATTTCAACGATATTTCAAAGTTATTCCGACGTTACTTCGACGTTATTGCACGTTATTTCAAGGAAAATGTACACCAAAATTCGAGTTGTTTCCCCTCTTGAAAGTCGCTAAAAACGTGTATCGCAGAAAATGAAAATAAAAGAGTCAAACCCTCTTTAGCAAGTGAAAGTATTTATTCGGAATCAATCACAGAAAACTGGCGTTGGTAAACATAACAGAGAAACCATACATAAGGGTGAACAGCCGCAATAAATTATCACAAAACACAAACTTAACAAAATCAACAATAAAATAGAACAACAAGTCGGCGGATGGCCTCCCGTGAACGCCAGTCCCTCGGCAGGCAGCCCGTCGACAAAGAAAATATCTAGCAAAAATGCCTTGGGTGCAATGACTAGATCGAGACCCGGCCCTTGGCCCGGCAGGGCAGTGCGCCTTGCGCGAGCCTGGGCCCTTAGTGCCCTTAATGGCCCTTTTTGTAGCCCCACTTCTTGTGCTTCTTCTTGGCACCCTTCTTGCCATACTTGCTCTTGTGGCTGTGGTGCTTCTTCTTGCCGCCCTTCTTCTTGTGCCCCTTGCTGGACTTGTGGTGCTTGCCGGACGACTTCTTGCCCTTCTTGCCCCACTTTTTGGACTTCTTGCCCTTCTTCTTGTGGCCCTTCTTGAAGCTCTTTCCCTTCTTCTTCTTCCACTTCTTCTTCTTGCCGCCCTTCTTTTCTTTGTGGCCAGACGAGTACTTCTTGTCGTGGAAGTGCTTGATCTTCTTCTTCTCGTTAAGCTTGTGAATATCGTGCTTGCCCTTCGTGGAGTGGCCCTTGTCGTACTTGCCTTTCTTCACGTACTTGTGGCCCTTCTTGCCCTTCTTGCCCTTCTTGTGCTTCTTGAAGTAGCCTCCCTCGTCCTTGTGCTTCTTCTTCTTGCCCTTCTTCACGGCGTACTTCTTCTTGTGCTTGTCCTTTTTGTGATGGCCTTTCTTCCCTTTCCACTTTTTGTGCGAGCCTTTGTAACCCTTCTTCATCTTCTTGCCTTTCTTCTTGTGCTTCTTGGACTTGTGCTTCTTACCCCCGCCCTTTTTCCACTTCTTTTTGGAGGCGGCCACCTCCATGTCTGCGGGCGGCGCCACGGCGTTGGCGCTCGGGTCGGAGGCCGCGCTGAGGAGTCCGGCCAGCCGCGCGCCACCCCCAGCCAGCCCCGCGCCGCCCCCGGCCGCCCCCGCCGGGAGCGCCCCCGTCACGTTGAGGGCCCTGGTGGAGGCGGCTGGCGTGAGGTCGGCCGCGTCCTCCCGCCACTGCAGCCCGCCGTCGTCTCCGCTGAAAGCAGACAGGCGAGCACATAGAACCAGGAGGCACTCTCCACCCAAAATGCACCCAAAATGAACTTGTTTCGAGAGGGCAATTAGTTACTCGATGAAAGCCCTGAAATGTGGCGTGCACGGCGACAGCTGCGCCAGTACGTACTGCGTGCTACGTACCTTGCGGGCAGCAGGCGACCCGCGGCCGGCGAGGGCGTCCAGGAGGAGACGAGCAGCAGGCCGAAGACGAAGGCGGTCCTGGACCAGGTCCTGGACCAGGGCCCCAAGGGGGGCGCCGCGGACGGGCCCGCCGGCCTCCTCAACACCATCGTGACGAGTGTGCTAGCCCAGGCGGAGCAGGCCGTTTTATCAGCCCAGCATCCGCGGCAGCGCGACACTGCCTTGCTTCTCGCTTTTTGCCTTCTTCTCCGCCCTCGCCGTGCCCCGTGCCCTCGCCCTGCATCTGTTTTGAAACGCTGGTCTGTCTAATCGATGTGGAATGAAGCGATTATAACAGGCGCGCGCAGCAGCAGAGTGCAGCGCGCTGCTGGCTGCAGAGGTGCGCGGGTGTAAAAAACACGGAGGGGCCTGAACCCAGGCCTGACGCTCTCCAAACCCGCCGCGGGCCTCGAGCAGCCGAGGGACGCCGAGAACGCCGATCGGAAACGTGTTCCTTCGGACGGAAGTCGTCATTCTACGACTAAACAGAACAGCTGCAAAGACAATCAAATTCCGTTCTCAACTTTGATCTCCCACACTAACTCGTAATTTTTTCGCCATTTTGGAGAAGGGTGGCCTTCGAGGGCCGGCCTCCACCCACCACCAGTCGCGCTCCTCCCCACCCCGCCCCGCCTGGTCGGGCCACAGCATGACACATCACTATTCCGAATGCACGCCGATTTAGCTTTTTGTAGCACTGTCGTGCCACCACTGTCCCACTGCACCGTTGCAGGCTCGGTCCTGACAGTCAGTTCTCCAGCAGCCTTATACACGGTCGGACGTGCGGTCGTCCCCTCAAGCTCCATACTCTAGACGCCAGGCTCCAGTTCGGATTCCAGTTCGGCTCCAGACTTGAGGCTCCACGCTCTGGAGTCCAGGCGAGTATGTCGTGCTGGCGTGCTTCGGGCGAGCGGCCGGCCTGCTGTCGATTCTGTGGGCGCTCTGCAATCAAGTGCGGCTGAAAAGCGAAAATCTCGTCCTTTGGCCGACATGTCTTGATGTTTGACTGTTCAGCACAGCATTCACCCTGCCGCATGTCAGCCCTGGACTGGTGTACGAGTCCCAGCATCTTCATGGTTTTCAAAGACCTATAACAGTGTGGTGAAGTTTGTACTGCTCGTACAAAAAGAGGTTGTACAAACATCTTCTTCGAGGTAGGTACGAAGGCAGAATTGGTTGCCCCGGGGCTTCACGGTCTGACACAGCACATGTGGGCTTGGCTATGCGTCGGCTGCGTCGCCGCCAATCTTGGATGGCAAAGTACGAGACATTCCAGGACCGGGATATCGAACCAAGGTGCCCTGGGCCGCACAAGTGCCGTTACAGATCGCTGGTTGCGCCAAGCTGCGTGGCCGCGCCTGCCGCCGCGCCTGCCCCCGCGCCTGCCTCCGCGCCTGCCCCCGCGCCTGCCCCCGCGCCTGCCCCCGCGCCTGCCCCCGCGCCTGCCCCCGCGCCTGCCCCCGCGCCTGCCTCCGCGCCTGCCCCCGCGCCTGCCCCCGCGCCTGCCGCCACGCGGGGCGTGTCAAAGCGATCAACCGGCCGATCGGCTGGCCCAGGCTGGCCTAGGCTGGCCTAGGTCGCTTGCGCCACCGCCCCCTCCCGCCCTTCCTCGAGCCTAGGAGCCTCTTCTGCATCTCGGGGTGAAGGACCCCGGGACCCGGGGCGTCGGCTCCATCACCCTGGCTCCCTGGCCCAGGCAGACCCGGGGCCCCCGCGGGCCCATCCGCACCCTGGACCACTGGGATGCGCGTTTCGCACGCTTTGAGTCTTGGGAGATCCAAGATGCCGAGCTCCGCGGCGAGGTCTCAAAGAACGAGAGTGTGGCGCGGATGGCATCTCGGCATCTCCGCGCACCGTCACTCCCCGAACCTCGACGCTGACCAACAGGATGCCGGCGACAGGACTCGAGCGCCGCGGTGGCACGAAGCCGCCGTGCCGCGGTCAGAGCTCTGGATGCACCTGGCGACTGGCGGCTGGCGGCTCGCGGTCCTCGGTCTTGAGGCGGAGTGGCCAGTGGCCGTTGAAGCGCTCGCGAAGGGCCTGGCGGAGGACCTGGCCGAGGGCCTGGCCCCTCCATGGCGCCGCTCCACTCCGCGCTGGCCTCGGCCTGCCTCGGCGGCTCCTGGTAATGGGCTTCTGAAATTGGGTGGAAAATCCGCCGCCTTTGCGACACGGTGGGGTCGGCGGGGACCTATATAAGCCCCCACCGCCGTGGCCGGACAAGCACTCCCCGTCCAACACCGACTCGCGACACCATGTGGCTCCCGCGGCCAGCTGTCTGGCTGCTCCTCGTGGCGTGCGCCGCCCTCGTGCCGGGCAGGGCAGTCCCGGGCAGCGCGCCGGCCGTCGCAAACGCGACGGGGAAGCAGACGGACTCGGCGGCAGCGGCCACCGGGTACATCTACCGCAAGGACGGCGACAAGCCCGCCACGTACTTCAAGCTGGGCGCCGGCCAGGGCGCCGGTCTGGGCCTGGGGCACAACCTGGACTCCCTGCCGTTCGACGCGCCGCAGTACCAGCAGCAGCAGCAGCAGGCCCCGCAGCACAAGCAGCGCGTGCAGCAGAACCACTACTCGCCAGGTAGGCTGGGGCTGGACGGCCACCTGGACACGGTGGAGCACTCGTTCGGCTCCGGGGCGGTGTCAGGCGTTGGCTCAGGCACCGACTTCTCCGTGGGAAGCTCCCTTGGCGTGGGCGGGCACGAGTCGGGCCATCAGGAGAACCACGGGCCAAGCTTCGGCCCGGATCATCTCGACATCCCTGGCGGGCATGGCGGCTCGGGACACGGCGGGGGCGCGGAGGAGTCCGTCGGTGGCCTGGACGAGCACCTCAGCGACACACCATCCGGCTTCCAGCACGGCCCGATCCACGGGCTGGGCGACGCGGCCGAGGACTTCCTCAGCGGGGTTCCTGCCGCGCTCAAGTCAGCGCGCGACGTCAACTACGGTCACGGCGGCCAGTTCGGCCACGCTGCCCAGATCAACCACCCCAACCCCAAGTCGCAGGTGCAAGTGAACGCCCGGGCCGAGGAAGAGTACGGTGCGGCCTTCCAGGCCGAGGACTTCGGCGCGCTCAAGTCCATCGGTGACGAATTCAACCCGGGCTTCAAGGGTAACTACGGCGACCATGAGGACCTAACGGAGCGTGCAGTGCACGGCCACAGTGGTGGTGGGGGCGGTGACGCCGGCCACAGTGCGCCTCTGAAGACCCACGACGACTACCACCACGGCTATGGTGGCGGCCACGGCGGCGGCGGCGGCGGCCATGGGGGTGGCGGCGGCGGCGGCGGCGGCAAGAGCTTCTCGAAGGGCGGCGGCTCCAAGCACTCCGGCGACAGCTTCTCGTCGCACGGCAGCAAGGGAAGCAAGGGCCACAAGTCCACCAAGACGTCCGGCGGCGGCGAGTCTGGGTCGCACGGTAGCGACGGCCACAAGGGCTCCTTCGCCAAGGCCAGCGGCGCCAAGAAGGTGCACCAGGACGAGGCCAGCAGCTACGGCGGCCACCACTCGAGCAGCAAGGGCGGCGGCGGAGCCAAGCACGGCGAGAAAGGACACGGCAAGAAGGGCCACAAGTCCACGGGCTACCACAACGTGTACAACAAGGACGAGTTCAAGAAGGACACGTCCTTCTACGACTCCAACTCCAAGGGCGGCAGCCACCACAAGGGCGGCGACTACGCTGCCACGCACGGCGGCAAGAGCGGCGCCAACAAGAAGGGCGGCCACCACGGCTCGGCGTACGACGAGGGCCACAAGGGCAAGAAGTCGCACGTGGACAAGGGCAAGGAGACCGACGACCACAAGGCCAACAAGGGCTCGTCCAGCCACGAAGCCAAGTACGGCCACAAGGAGGACTACGGCAAGAAGGACGGAGCCTCGTCCGGGAAGAAGTACGCCCACAAATCGGGGGGCGGCGGAGGCGGCGGCGGCGGCCACGGAGGCGGCGGCGGCTACGGGGGTCACCATTAGGCCCTGGGACCGCAGCCCCAGCCCTCCACCATGCCGAGGGGATCGCCTGTCCTTTGAAGCAGGGCTTGGACGAGTCCAGTGCGGATGTGTTGCTGTCTGTGATAGAGAGTCAAGTTGCTCTGTTGAGTCATTTTGCGCCCCATCTGGCTTCATATTGGAGTGGCTTGGATTTAATGAATTTTTAGTTATGTCAGTTGATATTGTGGTTGTAGATATTTGTTATTTGTTATTCATGCCACATTTGTTTTGTTTTTGTTTTATGAATATTAATTTATGTTAAATGTTAGGATGTTCAAATGCTGTTTTGCATTTGGCTGGAGATTTGGCTAGTCCTCATTAAATTGCTATTTATCACATAAAAAAATGTTTTAATTCCTTTCTTGAGATGGCACATTTGAAAATTACAAGATCCTTTATACATCAGAAAGTTCTGCTTATGGCCGTAACCGGATAGTTACAAGAGATCATTGCCAAGAAATTACTTTGCACAAAGAAAATAAAAACGTAATTGACAATTAGACTGGTAATAGCATCTACAAAATGGAATACAGAACACCACATCCTCAAACTAAAAAATACTTCTCATCCACAAAGCAACAGCATTGCTTTTAGAAATCATCATTGTAAAAGCTACAACACTATAATGATTACTTAAACACGTCAGTACTTGATTCATATATTATTGTTGATGGTGACTTAAAGTAGTTTCAGATCAATGTTTCTACACCCCAATTATTAAAAAAAGCTAGAACCAAATTGAATGGTGACATTGATCTTTCAATTAGGACAGGGCAAATGTCCTACTACATGTAAAATAACAACAATACAGAGACACAATCTTCAACAGGCCACTTATGCTTGTGATAGAAAAAAAGTGGTGACGTTCCAGTACGATATGAACCACCTCAAGTTCTTGAACACAAAACATAAAAACATTTTTTGAATAGAATAAAATAAAAATTCAACATTTACAACAGATAGAATAAAAAGTGCAATCATCTACAAAAATTAAACATTGAAGCAATTCAAAGATGGCATTTGCATGTACCCCACTTGTCTATCATAAACTGACAGTTTGGCACAAATATAATCATAATAGTTGTAAGTGTGATAGTAAGCATAGACAAATAAGAATGATTATTGAATCAAACTATGAATTTTACAGAACAGACATTGACCAAACGAAATATCTCAAGTAGATAAAAAGCATTTCATATTCTAGCCTACATTTACACAGAGTATATTTCATATGGGTTAGTCAAATAGCAGTCAATGGCAAAAGATTTTCATGTAACATGAGATCACAAATTTGACAATAATACAAGTCTTGTGCAAATTTGGAATTAAAACATACTGCTGTCACAGTCAGTCGCACCTACCTATCTGTCATGGTTAAGGACACATCTAATCCACTTACCTACACAAAAATGAAGAAAATCTAACGCAGTAAATGAACTTGCTCAGAAATGTCAAACATCCCTTTTGGACAAAGTCAATTTATGCTCATTCTGCTCCTAATTCCATTGAATACATTTGTGTACTTTTTGTTTAATACTGGGGGAGTAAGTACAGCTCCTGACTAGCATGAATCAAGTACAGCATCTTCTCTCTGAAGAAATAGAAACATTACAAAATTGCAAAACAAGGAACGGTTTCAATAATTAAGTTTTGAAATTACTTTTGCAGCAGAAGAGGAATTCATGATTTGATTTGAGGTATTATACGATTTGAAACAGGAAGTAAGCTATGTATGAAATTGGATAGCATAAACAAGGCCTTAAACAACATCAACCAAACTAAAGGAGGAATGGAGAAGAGGGAGAGGGAAGAGGTCAGACAATAGACAATATGATTGCACCACCTTTCCATTTACATATCCACTCACTGTAATATTATATCTGGACACAATTGATAGAACCAAAGTCCATGCTACTCTACCATCAATCAGATTGGTAATTGGTAACAGTGGGGGCACTGTTCAAAGTACTAAATTATTTTATGGTGAGATTCAGAGATAAATAATACATTTGTCATAATGTTCAAATCATGCATGTACATTAAAGGCACATTATGTGTACGACAGTAAAAACATTTTTAAAGGTTTAAATGAATAACATAAAATTTCCATAAAAATGATGAGAAACAAAACAAACCAACTCTGCTCAGTGCAAGATGCAACATCCATCAAAATTTGAACATCACCTTTCATCTAAATTGCACAATAAAACTCAATACCAAAGGTAATGACCCAGAATAAGAGTTGATTCAATATAGATCACAAATTATAAAATTTGGCTTGTAGACTAAAAACAAAGAAAAGGAATCAAACAAAACAAAAACATAAGCTACATAAAATTTGCTTCATTGCTGTTAACGATACACAATAAATAGATACTAACTTATAAATACAGTGAGAAAACTGCTAATCCCGGATACAATGAGCATTTAATCATAAAACTGATAAGTTTTTGGGAAGGTATGGTTTAATGAGTCAGTGTCTTGGCATCTCCATCAGGACCCCCTTTAGCCTGTTTATTGTTTTCATCTGATGAATCAACAGTCACAGTCACACGAGCCAGAAAGTGTCTTTTTCCTTCTCCATTTTCATTCTCACCATCTAGCTCGGAATCAACATCAGTCGAGTCTCCATCATCCGACGTATAGTCTGATTCACTGGCGGATGTTGACAAGTATTCTTGCTCTCTGTACTTCAAAGTGTTGCTTTCTACCAAATTAAGGAGAGAAGAAGATGGTGTAACTGGGCTGGAAGCGGACGATGAAGGGTCCAATTTGTTTTCTTCCAATGCAAGCTCTGAACCATGAACTTTGTCAGTAGAACAAACACTGGAAATGCAAGGACTTTCAGAAGACTGACGTTTTAAACTGAAGTCTAGAGCAGCTGAGGTATCCTGAAACCAAAAACATCAAAGAATGTAAAGATTAAGCCAAATAAAGAAGCCAAAACAAAACAGAACAACTTAATTTGGGTTACTGACTGGATAAATAGCAGAGTTAAACAAAATGCTTACCTCAGATGAAGAATATCTCTGTTTTGATGACTCGCCAGTTTGGGGGTCTTCTAGAGACTTCATTATCATACGATCATAGCGTTTTTGATCTCTTTGCTGCTCATGCAAAAGTCTATGATGGTGCCTCTGTTCTAAATATTTTTCCATTTCAAACTCGTCCATTCTCCTTTGTAAATCCTCCTGTTGCTGTTGCTGCTGACGATAACGTTGTTCTCGCTGAGCCAAAGCTTGTCTTTCTTTGTAAAGCTGCTGTTGTTGCCTCCGGTACCTTTGGATCTGTTCCTCCTGATGCATTAGCTGCTGCTGTCTCTGCTGCTCTTGAGTTGCGATGTGTTGCATTGATGTTCTTGCAGCAGTGTCTTGGGCTCTCTTCATCTGTACGGCTGCCCAGACATTTTTCAGCTCACCAGCTAAATCTCTGTCTGGTAATATACGGAAATGTCGAGCAAAATGCAACCCACGATTACGGTTCATAAGCTCCACAAAGTCAAGTAACATGAGAACAAGAGCGTGAGTTTCCTGGAATCAAAAACAATATGAGACAGTAGAAGATAAAGAACAAGTTTCCGTATTGGTTCCGCACTGCACATCTGCCTGAACAAAACCTACCTGAGGATCCGCTGCATGCTTGCCTTTAGTTCGCAAGACTTCGGGGTGAGCCATAACAGCAAACACAGGGGAATGGCTTGGTGGTGAATGTGGTACTTGCATTCCACCATACAGAGGAATATAATCTTCTGGAGTAGATGGCAAGGCTATTTTCTCCCATGATAACACATTAATATAACAGGGTTCTTGAGATCCCTGCAAAAGTATCACAAGTTTGTATACATCAAATATCCGCTACTTCAGTGTTCAACGAATGAATAGATGCAAAAATTTACAGATTAAAGACATTAAGAACCTGAACATTACCTCTAAAAAATCTTGAATACACATGTGTGGTTGTGGTGGGTTTCTGAATGTTCTGGAGTGACTGCGAATTCGCTCAGGTGGTTTACTATTTCGCCAAGTTACAACCACAGGGGAATTTTCAACCATCCTAAACAAAACAGAAAAGAAACACAGACTGTAGAAAGCAGAATACAACTCACATCAACAGAGGCCGTCACTTTGACTTTTTAACCTGACCAAATGAGTCACACTTCACACAAGAATATTATTTTTGAAAGAAATTCTACAGTAGGTCAAAATTTGAAAGTGAAACCATGCAAGGATTGAAGGATAGGCCGAGGTTTAATTTACCTTCTCGAAAAGAACTTCCAAATTCAAAGAAGCGCCAGACAAATAAACAATATACGTCCGTCAATACATTTCCTTTGGGATCTCTATGAAACAAAGCGTCACTTTCTTCCTGATTATTCCTAAATTCAAATCGAAGTTGGAGATAAAAGGGCCCGTAAATTACATCAAAAGTCGATCATGATGATTGTGAACAAGCTTCTTTATTTGTTTTCGTCACTCAACTGCGTCTGCTGGGTGCCTGTTTTCCCCTCCCCTCTGTCCCCTCTGCCCCCTCTGTTTCTGCCGTGCTTGCCGTGCAGACGAATGCCAATCTCAAACTGACTTTCTCAATCTCAATCGCAATCTCATTATGAAATGTGAACAACTGAGCAACGGAGCAGACGGTCTGTTTAGGGTTAGGGAAGTCTGTTTACCGTCGCCTCCGAAATGGAAGAATATGGTTATCTGCTTTTCGTATTTATGCTGCTTCATTTGGGCGTTCGCTCTGGCGTAAATTATGATTATGATTTCTCAGATTGTAAGTTTTATCTGAGACCTGGAGGGGGAAGGAAGGCCATGCGGTTCGACTTAAATAGGTAGGCGCCGAAAAAAACCGGCTGGAGCCTAAACACAATCTGATTGTAAACACGAATTTGAAGTTGAAAAATGTCTTAAGCTGTTCTTCAAAGTTGTTAAACTAATTTCATGATCATGACTGTAACGTCTTACAGCAAGAATCAACCATTTTACCACAAGTCGTCCATTCAAATCTCTTTCAGGCCTTTGTTCAAGTTTGTGCTTTGACATCTCCCTTTTTTGTTTCATTTTTTATTTTAGCTTGAGAGGATTGCAAATTATGGCTTTAGATGTTGAAGGACCAAATCGTGGTGTGTTCATGACCAATCGGACATGGTATATGAACAGAAGGTATATGCACCTAATGGTGGACATATGTGATAATCTCCGAGATAATCAAATTTGTAAAAGTACTGGGAAAGCATGTATCTTTAAATCTCCTGATGACCATTACCAGCCAAATGCTGGCAGTACCATTGGTTAGTATTGTGGTAATATGGATCTACAATCTGGAGTCCAAAACTCTCCTGTTAGTATCTGTCCTGATTCCTACTAATTTTTATTGTTTTTGTTTTAGTTCTTAGAAATGGATCATATGATTTCCTACAGTTTGACATGGTGGGGGCAGCATGCAAGACGAATACAAGTAGAAACTTTGTTTTACACTTCAACATTCGATGTAAAATATTTGTAAGTATTTACTCTGACTTTGCCAGATTCCACAAATTCATGATAGAACTAAAATGTTGCCATGCTGTTTCTTTGGGAAAGAAAGTGATTTTCTACTGCTTTTCTCTCTTTCATTCTCTTTAGGACATCAATGCTGACACAAGAACAACTGCGTCATGGGCTGGCCCTAACAGTTGTGAGGCAAATGTTTTTTGGACTGTTGGTGGTTTCTGTGGGTATTCTCAGGATGACTTCGCATGTTCTGTCAATATTGGACACAATGTGACGTTAGATTTGGATCCCTTGAGATCTTCAACATTTTTGACTGCAGCAGATGCTGTTGCCAACAAAACTTATCAAGTAGGGAGCTTCAGCTTCAATCCATTTGGAACTAAGTGACTTCATTATTTTGTAATTGTCAATAATTTGTACTGGGCTTTCTTTATTTTTAGTTTAATATCTGTGCACCAGTCAAGCAAGGCCGTTGTAATGGGACCACTTCCCTGTGTGAAATTGATAGAGCAACTGAGAAGGCGGTATCGCTTGCTGATTCCATTTATTCTTATTACAACCGTTTTAATGGTATTGTAATTAGTTTTGCCAGGAAAGATCGAGGTAATGCCAACTTGATTGGGTGACAAAAGTCCAAATGCTTGCAGTTGGATTCTTTTACATTCTTTCTTGAATTCAGGTCGTAGCAAAGCTGAAATATGGCTGCGCTGCATACCAGGGCGCTCTGATATGGGACCTCCCCATGATGTGTATCAAGTCTTCATGAGGAAGAAAACCAAAATTTTTCTTATGAGGACACCCCTTGGTTGCTTGGTGCCTCCTCCTTTGTGTATTGTAAGTGTGTCTTCTGACAAAAAAATTGACAAACAACTTTACTTGTTAGAATATCATATATCATGTGTATTCCTCTGTTTTATTTTTTAAGGCTGTCAATGAAGAGACTGGCGATCAATTTAATCTATACGAGTTGGCAGGGCAAGTTCTTGAATTTGATCACTACGAAAGCAAAATTGTTGTCTCTGTCTGCGCTCCCATCAATAAGGAACAAGATGTAAACATTCCATGCTCTGGGCCTGGCTTGGCTGCATGTCTTGTTGGGGGTAAAGACGTAATCAAGGTTCTAGGAATGCTAGGCCAGTCACCTGAAGTACTCTCTAATGGAGCTATTCGGCTCAGTTATTACAGTAAGTATGCACTTGAATTTAAAAAATATATATTGGTTGACCAAGTTGACTTTGTACCTAATGTGTTGTTGCTCTTTCAGATGGTGACCCCTGTTTGTACACTGGGGATTATAATGCAAGGTACAGTACTTTTTTAGATCTGTACTGTGACAAAAGTCATGTCAAGAACAGTGTTCGTGAAGAAGGGTGCAGCATTTTTATCAATTATGTAACACCAGTAGCTTGCCCGTCCATGGTAATAATATACTTAGGTCACAAGTAGATTAAATGTTTTGCACCTTCATTATTTTTCAAGGAAACTTGTTGTAGAGATGTGTTGTAGTATACGTTCGAGGTGATGTGATGGTTGTTGTTGTTTTGTTTCTTTAAATTTGTGACTGTACATATGTGTTCGCATCATATTCTTTTACTTGGTATATTTTAAATTAGTTTGATCATGCATCTGTAAATGCTCTTGTCTCCTATTCTGCACCTATCTCATCTTCTTTTTGAATTATTATTTAACATTTTGTTTTCCTTTTTATGTAGTATTTAAAGCATATTAGAGGATGTGCTATTGGTTGGAGAAGTTTTGAAGGTAGAATTTCTGCTTACTTACTTTAATTATGTGTTTTTCTCTCTTGTCATAAAAATATGATTTAAAAAAATTATTTTTTTCTAGGATGTTATTGGAAGAGACTGTCAAATTCAAGATCCTCGTTATAATTCTACTATTGACTTGAACTCCTTACGAAATGAGAAAGAAGATATAACTCTTCCTCTTGAAGCAAATTTGAGCCCTAGTGTACGATTTAACTTGTGTGGACCTCTTGTTAAATCATGTAATGGAATATCAAACACCAGTTTCTGTCTGTACAAAAATGGATCAGAATATGCTATTGGTAAGACTGCAGTGTTTTTTATTTTGCTGTACCAGATGTTTGTTGAGATATGCAACAGTGTGGATCACCAGTGCCCTTGGGCAAAAGAGAATGCCCATCAAAGTTCAAAGTAAAGGATGTGAGGCAACCTATCACTGTTTTTTTTATTGCAAAACAGATACCGCTCATGTTATGCTTTTAGTCAAAATTTTATTATTATTGAACAAATTACCAAAGTAGCATTTTTACTGTGACAGGAGGGCCAGCACTTTTTCCTAAGTACCATGATGCAATGGTGAAATTTGATCTTTATGGACCACCATGTGACCCTGATAGGAACTTCACTAAAGTGACGGTAATGCTAACTTGCAATCATGCTGCCAAGTCTCTACAACCAAGCACTGTACAATATGTTTCAACGGTGTGTATTTTAACTTTGATATTTTCTGCATTTTTTCACTCATGAAGCATTAATTGAAAGTATATCATGTTTATATTTATTTGCAGCAAGCCTGTCACTATTATGTGGTTTGGAAAACAGATGTAGCATGTCCACCTTTCACTGAACGCCCAGCGTGCAATGTGCAGAATGAAAAAACTGGAGAATGGTATGATCTATCCGCCCTGTCCGACCCAAACATTAACCATAGGACTCAAGTGAGATTGAATTACGGAAATAGCAGTACAGATGTCGTTATTTTCATAAACGTATGTCGGTCTGTTGTTCATGGATCCAATTCTCCATGTCCACCATACTCTGGGATATGCATGCATGTTCCTGATCCCAATGAGCCAGAAAAACGAGACAAAGAAATGTAAGTTTCTCTTTCACCCATATTTATTTTTAATCGTAATTTTTAATGTGTATTTCTGTTTTAATTTTGGGATTTGCAGATTCATTAATCTGGGAGAAGCAGGCTATACTGGTCCCATTCTTGATGATGATGATTCCTTGAAGATTCAGCTTGAAAGTGGCGATATTTGCGGGCTAAATAAAAATGGAAAAGAAAGATATTCATCAGCGATAACTTTTATTTGTGATAGGGAAACCAAGGTGGCTGTGTGTTTTAACACTGTACAAATTTCTTTTGTAATTTTACACTTGTAAACTGTTTTTACAAAAAAAAAAAAATCTTTTCCAGACATCAGCACCAGAATATGTCCAAGATGCATCTTTTCTCTGCCACTTTGAATTCAGATGGAAAACTTCATTTGCATGTCCGACTTCTGACACTTATTCCTATGCGCCTGATGAGAAAACCAATCCCAACAAACTTAGCTGTCAAGTTCTAAATGAAAATACTAATCACAGGTGCATAATTTATTACATGTATCCTTTTTATGCAGCCATTTTATCAACAAAATAGTAAAATCTCCTTTTTGTTTGCAGTTATAATTTGAGTCCTTTGAAAAATAAAACCTGGGTAATACCGGCTCCATCTGAACCAGGTTCAAAAGGACATAAGTTTTACATTTCAATTTGTGATAAATTACCTAAGTTAGGATTTGGCTATTGTGGATATAACGCAGGTAGAACAATTTATAATTTCATGATGCCAATAATGTTGAATACAATACATCAATGAACACCACTGTAACTTATTTGCAGGGGTTTGTATGGAAGAGAACAAAAAGATACACATGCTTGGGATCTTCTCAGAAAATCTGCAGTACACTGGTCATCACTTATTCCTCACTTACGGTGGTGGACGGCTGTGTAATGGGAGAGACTTCTACAGATCCGAAATATCATTTATGTGTTCTAGTGAATTTTTCCCTAGGAATGGACCTCAATATGTTGGCACTGTTGGTTGTAAACATTTGTTCATGTTTTATACTGATCTGGTGTGTGAAAAGGATTCTGTAAGTAATGGATGGCTCTTATTCGCTTTATTTTACTTCTGTACTTTTCAAATATTGCAAGAAAAAGATAAATGTCTGGGTTATGTTACAGTTGTCCTGTACAGTGGATACTTCAATTTATGATGAGAAAATATTATCTCTTTCAAGCTTGATGCAATCAACTGCTCCGTATCGTATAGAGTCCTCTGATGGACACATCTTCATTGTGAATGTTTGTGGGCCCTTACCTAGAGCAAAGAATTTGGGATGTAAAGATGGCTCAGCTGCTTGTATGCTGCAGTCTGATACCCGGACCATCTCTGACACCCCTCTGGTATGGAAACTCACTGTTAAGCTCACTAGGACCTGAATTATGTAACTTGAAATTTGAATTAATTACTTGAGACCTTTCTGACAGAGCCTTGGCTTTCCGCTTTCGAGACCTGTCTTAGACCATCTCCCAGGTAAAAAACCTCAAGTGGTTTGGAAGTACAGTGGAGGTGACCCTTGTCCCTATGCCTCTAAGGGTAATGCAACTGCAAATTTAAGGTTCATTTGTGATCCGAATGTTGGCCCGGTTGGTATCTTTTTACCAGTGCTGTGACTATTAAAATGATAGACCTCTGTAAGTTGAAGTATATTGTTTCGTTTCTTTCTCATTTAGGGACGACCAAAATATGAAGGTAGAGGTGACAAAGATTGTGTGTATCATTTCTCATGGAATACAAGTGTAGTTTGTTTAGAAGAGAAGGTTGAATTTGATCGCCAGAGTTGCCTCTTGACAAATCATGCCACTCAAGAAACCTTTAATCTTACTGAACTCTATCCAAGGAGCTATCAAAAGGTGGGGTGAAAACAATTTAAGGGTCATGCTGAGTTTGTTACGTTAATTCATTTTACAGGGAGCTGTGAACTATCTTATTCCAGGATATGATGGCAGGACTGAAGCCACCTCTCACCGGAGAGAGTCTTTATATATATCTATGCTCTTGGCCTCAACATTGGATGAATGAAACAAATACTGTTGAATGCAAGGACACAGCTGTTTGTGCTCTTATTGGTGATATGTACGGAAATTTCACAGGATATGGATACCAGCATTTTGCTTATTATGACAACAGCAACAGTACTCTAAAGATATTTTTCCGTGGAACATATAGACCTTCATGCAGTGATAGAGGTGAAACTTTATCACAAATGTGTTACATGCTTCAGAACATAGTGGCACACAAACTCTGAAATGAGGATCATCTTATGCTTTCAGAAGTGTCTGGTGCTGAAATCTGGTTCCCCTGTGCTGCAGATGGAAGAACACACAAACCAAAACTACTGGCCGTAAGTAACATTGTTTGTATTATTAAAAAGAAGAGTGGGGTTCGTAAGAAAGAAGATGGAAAGAGACAGTTTTCAGAAGTTTAATTTAAATATAGGTTCCACATAATGCCAGATTTCACTGACATGTCGAATGTGACAAGCATATGGGCAAGACAACATAAAACACGCACACACACAAACTCACACATCAAAGGTCATAGTATAACATCTTCGTCAGAACTATTTTTAAAACACAAAAACAAACTACAATTGCTATTAACAGTACATGGACACACAAAGATCACAAACACAAACACACTTACAAAATAATTAAATATGCATTCTTCTACACATTAGAGCAGTCTTAATAAACTTCATCCAAACTAATTCAAGTAATTAAGTCTTTTGAGCACAGTTGTAGTTGACACATCAGTCTTTTCATAGTTTATATCAAAACCTCTGATTATACATGACTTAAGGGGGAAATACAACTGATCACTGGCATGACAGTCGAACACTGGGCATATCTATCATAGATTCAGGTACTTAATGTTGAGAAAAAACAAATTCTTCAACATAACTGAGATCGTTATTTGAGACAATCACTGTACGGATATGTGCTATGGCACAGATTATCACGAGTTCTATTCATTTTACAATAGTCAAAATTAGCCAACAGCAGCAGCAGTTCCATTTGTTTCATGATTTGGAATAATAACTTTCCTTGGTGAGGAAAGTGCTCCATTGAATGCGTTTTTGATGCACAGAGGATCAGTGATATTGCCCTCAGCAGGTGGAGTGGTTACGGGCGGAAGAGCATTTGGCTCACATATTAGTTCCAATTTATCATCATTCGATTTGCCATTTGTGTGTCTGGTGCTCCGATTGACTAGATCTATGCTACTCTTCATAGCTTTAGGAGGATGAGGGAGGGCATACCTAAGCTTTTTCCAGAACCATGGGTCACCCCACTTAACATAGGTATTCATGTTCAGATATGCACGCAGCTCAGGGTCTAAGTCCTCTGTGAGTCCAATATCACCCAAAAGTACAACTATAACACGAGCACGTCCTTCATTAAGTGCTTGGCAATGAGCGGCCCTAAACTCCATCCGGCCCCATACACTCTCCAAGAAATTTGGAGATAAAACAACAATGGTTCGTCTTGACTCTTCAACTGATCTTGTTATTTGGTTTGGAATCCATTCACCAGCAACCCAATCTCGGTAGTGCAAGCAGAGCTTGAAGGGAATGGGACCTCCCTCCAGATTAGGGACAAGCTCATTTAACTGTGGAAGAAAAGAAACAAAGGGCAAAGGGTTAAAACCAGGAAAATAACCATTTGACACCAGTATATTACTAGTTTCTAATCTTTAACTTACAATAAAGTCTTCATCCTTATGAGAATATGAAACAAAGGCATCATAAAGTTTGTCCTTGTCCAGCTCTTCCTCAGTAACAAACCACAAACACATGTTGTGAGCAAAAAGCCATGCCTTAATTTCCCGGGTGTATTTGTAGTAAACAGCAAATGATGCTCCGACGAGCGCGCCGAGCAGCAATGCAACGACTAGCGAGGCCCAAACAACACTGCTTGTTTGGGAGCACAAGCCTGAAACTGTTAGCGCTGACAAAAGCTGACCATTCAAGCATTTCATTTTATCCGGATTTGTAATCTGGAACAAATTTTAAATACAGACCAACTTAAATTGTTGGCTACCAATAAAGAATAATTATAAATAAAAAGAGAGTGAATTGATACCTTTCTGAAGTTGACCTGAACAAAGCTTATTAAGGGCTGAAGATGGCAATCGCACTTCCATGGGTTGTCATGTAAAGTAAGACTTGTCAAGTTGGTAAGATTTGAAAAAGCCTCCATGGTTTCAGCTTCAACTACAGTTAAGTTGTTTTGATGCAGTTCAATGACCTGAAAGAAAAACAAATTATATTCGATGTGAAATAATACTAGTTCTCTGTAATAATTTGCCATGTTAAAGTATGGAACTTACCTGCAGAATTTTTGGTAGGTTTGTTACATTATGCATTCCAGTAATATTATTATATCCTAATGCCAGTTTAGACACCATTTCATAACCAGGCTGAGTGAAGTCTGGCAATGCCTGAAGCTTATTGTGGGTAAGATACAGCTCAGTGTGATTAGATGTACTGCTCCTTGGTAGTGCAGCAGGTGCTTCCGTCAAGTTCTTCCCAATACAGTCAATAATCAGAGCAGTGTCCGCAACCCGGAAATTGCAAGCGCAGGGCCGAGGGCAGATGGATGCAACAGACGGGGCCAAAGGGCAAGTAATAGCCTTTGACAGCACTTTGGTAACTGGTGTTGACTGCCACCCATCTGGGCCTGCACAGGCCAGATTTCCAGGTACTATGTTGACCAGACGCTGAACCTACAACGAGAGAATTATGAAATGATTAGATTTACTATCAAACCTTCAGTCGTATATCTCGTACAATCTTTTAGCACAGGTCTTACCTCTGGTGAAAGCTTTTTCTCCAGATACCTGAAGAAGTGATAACTTGAGCAATTGCATGAGAAAGGATTTCCATGCAAAAGCCATGTCTGTCTTTTGTCGGAATTCGCCAACTGGGCATTTTCTATTGCCCATGATTCAGATCGCTCGTCAATGTCAAAAACAGAGATTTTGTTATGACTCACATCAATCTCACGGTCACGATGTGGACTAAATGCATCGGAGTAAAAGCTGATACTTTCAAGGGCATTGTGGCTCATATTTATCAAACTTAAATTTGTAAAGAAGTTTTTCCAATCATTATAGATGTAGGAAATTGAATTGTTAGAGAGATCAATTTTCTCTAGACCAGCACATTTATAAAGAGGAGAATTATCTTCGAAGAATGGTCTTGAATCCGCAATGAGATAATCAAATGATAATCTGTTGTTAGCCATATTAAGAACTTTCAGTTTGCAGTTTGAAGAGAAAGTATCTTTGTCTATGTAACTAAGCAAATTATTCTCCAAATGTAGTTCTTCCAGAGCGTCAAGACCAGACAGGGCATTCCTGAAATGAATCAGATAAGGGTTATAGTATTTTACACTACAAAAAATTGAAACAGCAGAATTTACTGAAGTTAATGACTTACCGTGATAAATTAGTCATTTTGTTGTGTGAAATATCAAGAGTTCTGAGCTTCTTGCATTGCTGAAAAACATACTCTTGCAGAGAATTTATGTGATTGAAGGAAAGGTTGATCTTCTCTAAGTCAGTAGCATTCTGAAATACTTCATTTGAGATTTCTTTCAGTTGATTGTTTCTCATAGAAATACTGGTTATCTTATTAGACCCCCAAAATATATCATTTGGAAGGTCTCTTAAACCAGCATTATTTAAATCAAGCGTTGTTAAGTTTGGAAGGTTTGCAAAAAATCCACTTGGAAGTTTAAAATTGGGTTTTCGACTATCAGACAAATGAACAGTTTCCAATCCTTTGTTTGAATTGAAAAGATCAGCTGGTAGAGTTTGGAAATCATTTCCATCCAATCGGAGATTCTTTAGGCTTGTCAAATGTTTAAAAATATCAGCTGGTAGTGATGAAAGTCCATTGTGTCGAAGATCAAGTGATGTCAAACTTGTGAGATCCTTGAACATTTCTGGTGATAAATTGGACAGCTTGTTTTTCCATAAGTTTAGAAGATCAAGTTTCTTCAGATTACGGAACAGATCAGTAGGAATAACTGTGAGTTCATTTTTTCCAAGCTCTATGGTCCTAAGACTGAGCGCAGGCTGGAAAAAGTCCGCTGGTAACTGCACCATATTATTCAAGAAAGATATTTGCTGAAGAAGCGGCATGTCCATGAGAAGATCAAATGGCAGAGTAGTCAGGCCATTGTTTGCAAGAGACAATGAAGTGACACCTGTTAATCCTTTGAATAATTTTCTCTCCAATGTCTCGTTGAACTTTCTATGTGATGAGTAGGTGAATGTCTGGATTTTGGCAGCATTTCGAAGCTGTAATTAAAAATACATACTGAGTTGCAGGGAACTGAACAATTAAATAATAATTTGAGAACAGATTTCATGTAAAAAAACATACCCGCAAGAGATCAGTGAAAGCCACATCTGGGAGTGGGCACAGCCTAAATTCCATGGCAGGACCAGCATCAACACTAACATCTTTCAGCAAAGTGAAGTCTTCAGAAACAGTGCTCACTTGGCATAAAAATATGGCTTTGCTGCGAGGCTGTAGCTTGAGGGCTATCCTTTCTCCATCACTAGGACATGTTACTTCAAATTCATCACGGTCTTCGCGAGCACAGGAGCAGTTCTTGGGGCAGGAGAACTCCTGCGCAAGAGCACTTGTTGCCGTTAGGGCCAGTGAAACAACATAGGCCAGCCATAGTGTTGTTGACAAGTGCCTTTTCATGGTGGTACCCATCAGCTAGGTGTCGATCCGCATGCAGCCTGCAACATAACAAAATTTGCTATTAGTATAAGTAGAAGCACACATAATCATCACACGACCGTTCGCATAGACAGGCAGACCCAACTAAAAGATCTGGTCTGAGTCGCCGCAGATCTCTTTGCGCTTGTTTGTTGTTATTCGGGTCGTTGGTTTGAGCTTTGACTAAAAAGATTTGAGTCCCGTCGAAAGTGTCGTCTGCTAGAGCCGCTCCACTGCAAGCCGGAACACCGTCGCTGATTGGTTGATTTTGCTACTGTACCCCTGAGCAGCGTCCGGGCCTCGTCCTCGTGTGCTGCAGTGTCGGTGTCTGCGGCAAGCTGTGCATGCACTGCACGCGATGCACGCCCTCTCAGCCGTCGGTGTCACGCTTAAATTCCCTTATATCCCACCCAAGTCTCTCCCGGTGGCGCGTCGACTCACTGCGCCTTTCTTTGCCCCAGTAAAGTTTGGCGACAGCCAAGTTGGTGTCGCCTCGCCTGTCGCCCTCCCTTCGCCAGCCGTCCGGCCGATACGGGTGTGTGTCTGTGTGTGCGAGTGCGTGTGCGTGCGAGGGCACTGAACCCGGCCCCGGCGCGGACCCACCCTCACCTGCGAGTGGCTGTCGCCGCGTCGCGCCTGCCGCCTGCGACCAGCGACGTTCCGAGAAGGGAGACCCCTGCCTGGCACGCCACGCCACGCCACGGCGGGCAGGGCGTGCAGTGCATGCAGTGCAGCGACGGAGCCCCCTTCGCAGAACGCACTCCCCTGAGAAGACATAATCCCGGGCACAATGTACACGGCCCTGTACTTAATCATCCCGTTGTTTCACTTAGTTTCGCATTGGTGGAAGTATGTAAGTCTGAGCGACTTGTCGCGAGTCCCATCGCATGCCCACCGCAGAGTCCTACATTATCCCTTCGAGGATGCGGGCCTCGATCCCACCGCAGCCGAAGCTATGCAGAAGCGGTGACGACCTGACAGCGACGGCAAAGTATGTACTCGGTGACCAGCCGCAGACAGCGCGACCCCCAGGGCATCGTCTGTCTCTGCCTTTGCCGCGGGCGGGCCGTCCCGCCGTCCCGATGACAATCGGTGCAGCATCCAGTTCCAGTGTCGCGGCGACGAGCCGACGAGATACTAATGACGGCCGTTTCCAGCGACAACGCATCTCTGCGCGCTATCTGCAGGCTGATTCCGAGTGGTTTTCGCCGCTCTGTCTCGCTCGCACTCTTGGGGTGTCCGGTGTAGGTGCGAGAGAGACAGCGAGGGAAGCATTGTTGCAGCTTGCTGGAAACAACAGCCGCTTCCACCATGCTCCAGCCGAACGGCCCACCCCCGCCTGCAGCAGGCTGATTCCGAGAGCCGTTTTTGTTCGTCGCTATCTCTCACACACAGGTACGGGTCGCCCCATGAGTGTGAGAGACAGAGCGAGGTAAACGTTCTCGGAATCAGCCGATAGTAGCCAGCGGCCCGCGGAGATCTAAATGCACGCGGTGGGCAGGTTCGTTTGCGCCCTTCGCCCCCACCGTGGCCCCCACCGTGGCCCCCACCGTGGCCCCCACGCCCTCCGCGAATACCTCGTCGTCTCCACCCCTTCTCCACCCCACCGTCCCGTCGACTTACGCGTGGGGACGCTTCAACCAGTTTTACGGCATTTCTTGATAAGTTTTTTGCTAGTCCGTGCCCCGCCTGTGCCAGAGTGCCAGGAACGACGGGCGCGGTGGCACGGCCGGCTGCGGGCTCGGCGCCAAGCAGCTGCACTGCTCGCTGCATGGAGGCGTTTTGCGTTTTTCCCGGCCGAGTCTAGAGGAAAAGGAAGGCCTACGGCGAAGGCCGTGTGGCGGATCGGATGGAGTTTTGACGCGGGATTAACGGCCGGGGCCGAGATCGACTTAACTCGTCGGGAAATCGAGGGCTGCGGGGAAAATGCCGACGCTTTTCCATGAAAAGTTGCCTCTCGCGCTGGTCGGGGACCGTCGGGGACCCTGCCCCGATAAAGACGCGATAACACGCCGAGGACTGGAGGGCGGCCGGCGTGCGGCGTGCCGCGCACATGCAGCGCGAGTCCGAGTCCAGTCCCTGGCTGGCGCACTGTGTGGCGCACTGACCTCGACTCGGCGAGCCTTGGACTGTGGCAATCACTGTGGCAGACTGATAGCTGGCAGCTCGGCGGGTTGCCTGCCTTGCCTGCCCACGGGCTGTCTGCATGTGTTCCGCGGGCAGGCCCAGGGCAGGCCCCTCATAGCGCCTTGAATATTCAGTGCGTGTGTACTGTGTGTGTGTGTCTAGGCTAGCGCCGCGGCTGCCGGCGAGACAGGCTCGCGGGGCCGCGGGGCCGGCGCGGCTCCGGGAATTCCATGTCTCAACCTCTCACCTGGTGGTTGGCCGGTCGAGGCGGCGCTGGCCGTGGCACGGGGCCGTGGCGGCGCGTAGTGGGGCGCAGCCAAGCAGCGTCACGAGATCGGGAGCCTCAGCCGGAGACCTGGCAAGGTCAGCACAGGACTCCGCGGACTGGACGGGCAGGACGGCGGGCAGCGGTGACGCGTTGCAGCGGGCGGCGGGGCGGCCACACAGCTGGGGCCCGCGACGGGCTGCGCTGACAGTCGCTGGCACAAACACTGATCACTTCGGGAGCACTGAAAGCACTACACCAACACCGCCATCTTGAGGGGCAAGCGACGTGACGACGCGTGACGACTGCTTGCTGGATCGTGACGCGGACGTAACGCAGACGAAACGCACTTCGCCTCCGGTCGACTCCACGGTCCTGACGCGACTAAGCGGCGCGGCCGCGGCGGTCGGTCGGCGGTCGGCGCGCGAGGCGAGCGCGGCCGCGGCAGAGCGGGGAGCGGCAGCGAGCGGCCTGGGCGGCGCAGGGGCAGGGCGGGCGGGGCGGAGGCAGAGGGGGCAGTCCGTCACAACGGGGACGCCGTCGACGACCGGCCGCCCGGCTTCGGGATCGGTTCGGCTCTGTTCGCCGTGGTTCTTCGGGTACCCGGCTCTTGTTTTTCTCTCTCGGCACGCATCTTCTCCTCTCGCTCGCACTCCCAGAAATCCTGGTTCCAGGACCCCCTCCCGGCGATGTTGTGAGACCACGACGTGTACGCCCTCTCAGGTGCGTCGCGCTGGGACCGCTGGGCCCCGAGCCGCTTTTGTTGACATGAGGCCCGGGGGGGCCGCCCGCGAGTGCACCACGGCAAGGAAAACATTGTGCCCCTCCGCGGCGTTTGAACCCGCAGCTGGATCGAGAGGGAAGACCAAGGGCCGAAGGCCGCACTGTGAAGTGGCGGCTTGCCCCCGCCCCTGCCAGTGACAGCTGTGCCGAGGATCGCGCCGAAGCAAGACCTTTCCTTAGTGGAAACTTCAAATTTAGGCCGTGTGGCGTTGGTCTGCGGAAAGGCCTCCATGTCCATTTGCATGGGTCCGCTCTGGCTGTCTTGGCCCGACAAGCCGACAAGCTCCTCGGATTGCCCCCCCCTTTTCGGTTTCCCAGGTCGCGGCCCCGTCGCAGCGTGGCGTGGCGCGCCTTCAAGGAACGTGTTTTGATTCCGAAGTGAAGGCGGGGCGAGGCGAGGCGGGGCACTCGGGGCCGGGCCTAAGCGACGAAGCGAGCTCCTCGTGTACAGTGTCGCTTCGCGCTTCGCTCCTGGGGCCAGACCCAAGCCGCTGACGGCCTGGAGGCCCGTGACGCTCGCCACTCGGACTTGGCGCTTGGACTGGGCGCCACTCTGCTCTGCTGTCCGGTGATGCTAATGTGCGTGGGCTGATGCGTGATAAGCCCGGGGAGGTGGGGAAGCCGCGCCCTTGGCCGCGGTGCTGTCGCGCTGTCGCGCTGTCGCGGCCGGCCGTCCCGCCCCGCCGGCCCCGCCCGCGGTCCCGTTGGCTCATCCCGGCATCGCGTTGGGAATAAAGATAACATTTACTCGCCGGCGATTTGGTAAAAGAGGCGGGGGATGCCGGGGGCTGGGCCGGGCTGGGCGCGCGACGCGCTGCGACGCGCTGCGCTGTCTGCGCTCGCAGCTCGTAAAATGGCGTAATAGGGTGGTAAACCCGCGATGTCTTTCGGCGGGGTTCTTTATGCGACAGGCGGGGCTGGGGACAAGTAAAGTCGGAACAGATTCGGATCGGAAGCACGCGAGGGAGGACGCAGGACATTGAGGGAAATGCAATAGAGACGGAGACGGCATTGAAATCGGCCGTGCTTTTTCCTCTCCCCGCCGCACGTACTATCGGCCGGCCCGTCTCGCTCCATTGGCAGGCTGCACCACTGTTGGCCCACCGCGAGATGACTCGGCCACGCGGTCAGCGGCGCGGAGCGCGCGAGCTGCGCGTCAGTGGCGGCGAGGCGACGAAGCGGCGGGGCAACGACAATGACGCGGAGGGCTCTGGGGTCGTCGCGGGTGGCTTTGGGCGTGCCTTTGGGCGTGCCTTTCGGCGTGCCTCGCGCCTCGCGCCACCGGTCTGGGGTAAGGGGGCCTCCTCGCCATGTTTTGCCTTGACCCTCGCGCCATCCCGGCGCTTCGTAATTAGCGGATGGCCCCTTGAGCTGCCTTCTGGTGTCCACGTCGTCGCCGAGACCGCCGTTCCAAGTCCACGCCGGACTGGCGCGTAGTCCTGGTTCTGGTCCAGCCTCGCTTTTGCTTTTGCGGCTGCTGATTAGATCCAGTGGCAAGGTTGGTGCGGGGTGCGGGGACGGGATTGGCAGAGGCTCGACGAGTCTGACTGGTTTTTCGTCGCGTCTCTTTTCAAGCGAATCTTCGATCTGCGGATCTTCCTCGCTGCAGCATTTGCATCATGCCTCGCTTCTGCAAGCTGGGCATTGCTGGGCGCACGACGGCACGGCTAGGCTAGGCCCGGCACGCGCACCCGCGCACCAAAGCCAGCAAAGCCCGCAAAGCTCGTTAGTTCGGTGCCCGTTTCCAGGTACTCGTGCCTCGCGGACCAGCCGAACCAGCCGCCAGGTCCGCGAGGCCCGCCTGGCCTCCACGAGGCTCTGGCAGGGTAGCCAATAACGACTTGTACACAGGCTCCAATGTTGCTATTTCTGTTGGCCGGGACTCGCGTGCGTTGTTCGCCTTCTTGGTTGCACACCGTAAAAAATACAACATTTTTTCTGTGCCTGAGGTGTTTTTAGCGACCGAATTTTGACAAGCTCAGGTTGGCAGAACACTCCTTTACGTGCGAATTCGCTTCGCGCGGTTTTCTTTTCGAACACCTGAGTCGCCCTTGGACCCGAGTGAGTGCGACAATGCTGCCGTGCCGGTGGTGCCGATTCAGTCGTGAATGTGTCGCCGCGGCGTGGCGGCGCCAGGCCTGCCCCTCGGCCTGCCCGGCCTGCCCCGTGACACTCCGTGACCCGCCGGGAAGCCCCGCCATATTTACTCCCGTTTGGCGTGTTTGGCGCGACTGCATGGCCGCATGACTGCACCACTGCTATCTCGGGCCGCCAATGCGCGAAGCGCGAATGCAGCGCCGCAGCGGCCGGCGTGGCACACTGGCGAATGAGGGCACAATTTGTCGCCGCGCTCCGCTCTTCAGAGAAAGCCGTTTGTGTGGACATGGACAGGTTGATTGGGTCTCCGTCGGGCTTGTTGCTCGTTGCTCTAGTCCGGCCTGCACGCCGGCCATCCGCTCGCCCGGCCGCGAGCCGCGCCTAGGTGGTGACGGGGACCAGGTCGGCGAGGGCTTGGTGCAACCGGTGCAACCCCGACCGGCCCGGCCCGCTCTCTCCCAGGCGGGGCGGGGGCGGGGGGCGGCAGCGCTGCCCTCGGCAGGCCCAGGCCCTTGGCAGCCCCGGGCGGAGTGCTGCCGGACGTCGCGGGGTCGCGGCCGACGAGGGCCACGATTACCACGATCATGGCCACGGCCGCCATGACCGCCACGGCCATGCGGGACGGGCTGACGGGCTCAATAGATTGATTGGTGCCCCATCTCGCCAGTCCGCCCCCCGTCGGGCCGCCCGGCCGGCAGCCGTCATACAGTCGGGGGCGGGGCAGGGCTGTCGCTGCGCGCATAGTTTCCGCCGTGCCTGTGACGCCTGTGAACAACTTGTATCTCCCGACGCGACGACGCGACGCTTGCTGCATGGTGATGTGTTGACTTGACACAAGGCAGCGCGGTGCCGCCGTCCACCGGACGCACTGCATGGCATCGCTCGTCGTTCCGACACACTGTTCCGACACGGAACACGCTCGGCCGAGGGCTGGCCGAGTGCCTGGCCGTGCTGCAACAGCGTGCTGCATGCGTCCCGCGCCGTGCCGGGCCGTCCCGGTATCACCGAACAAAGCCATGCGATGTGATATGTGGGAAGCATGATTTAGGAGGGTGAGGCCCCCGCCCTTTAACATTCCCCGGGCCTCTGGGGCTGTGTGGCTGTACGCGCCATGCGGGTGTATGCGCGCTGCATCGCCATGCATCGCGGCCGGCAGCCCCGACAGACAGCCCCGCTCCGAAGGGACGGCGTCGTCAGCGGGTCATAGATGCGCCGGCACGGCAGGCCCATGGAACAGGTTTTGAATTTTAAAGCGATACATGTAGTACTAACGACACGAAGGGACGTTCCCGGCCGACAGCCGTGCATCTCCTGCCGTTCTCGTGTTCGTTCCCTTTTTTTCGACCGGGCGCGCCTCGAACCCGCGACCGGCCGACCGGCGCGCCGTCCCGCTGCGCGACTCCGACTACACTGCAATCGGAGGGCGAAGCCGGCGAAGGGCGCTGGCGCTGCAGTCCCGGGGGAGCCGGCCTTTGGTTTGGACGCTCGGGGCGGCTGTAGTGCCTGCAGCGCCTGCAGGGTGCAGGCCTTGATTAATCTCCTTATTAGGCCCCATTACGCCGTGCGCGCACTCACACATACACACACACACGCACCAACACGCCGCGCGCCGAACGCGTATGTACAATGGAAAGCCGGTCTGCGTCATCCGCCATTGTTGAGTGAGATAGCGACTCAGGTGAAGGCAGACGGGGCAGACGGCACCCCCCGCGGAGGTCTTTAGGGACGCCTTCGTGATGATCGGCACCCCGTCGCACCCCCTGCGGCGCACCCCGGGGCTCCCGCGCCTCCTCTAGGCCGGAGCGTACCCCTCCCCCTCCCCCTTTTCAACCTTTGACCTGAAGATGCCCGGTCGACGCTGACCAGTCAAAGCCAGGGACGCACATCCGTTGTGTTTCAACCCTTGGCTCTATAGCTTTTTGTACTACTTGGCCGCCACGCCGCTTTCTTATAAACGCGCAGTAACATTTTTCCCGCGCTAATTAAAGGGTGGCGAGACGAATTTTCCGCGCACTCGGCTGGTCGCATCTGCAGATTCAGGGGAAGACCGCTGCGACTACTCGAGTTTTCCAGTTCCGCGCGAGTGAGGGCGGGTGGGGAGGGGGAGGGGGGAGACGGGCGTCGCGTTGCAAGCTGCACCCACTGCACCCTCGGCACCCTTGCTCCGCGGGGGGCGAGGCCGGGCGAGGCGATTCGCCATGCCCTAGGTGCTCCGCGGGAACGCCGTGCCGTGCGTGCCGTGCCGCGCCTCGCGGGCTGGTGCACGAGTTTACTGGGGCGCGGAGCCTCGCGGAGCGTCGCGGAGGGGTTGGAAATGCTACACCGAGACCTTTGTGATGGAAATGGGTGGGCCCATCATTAGCTCGGTATTATCAGCGAGTCCCTCGGGAGCCCTGGACCTGTTCCTGTTCCAGTCCTTGTCGCCTTGTTCGCACCGCGCGCGCCCCGACTGCTCGCCCGCGCCGCGTTTCCGCTCGTGAATTGGAGCGGTGCG